AGACAACGCGCCTTGTGAGGACAGAGGCCCCTCCCGGGAGCCTTGGGGGACAGTCGGGGGAGGAAGCATGTTGCCAGAGAAGGCGCAGGCAGCCCGGGCCCAGTGGGCCCCACGCTCCCTGGCCTGTCGCCGGCAGACTGACCACAGAGACCCGGCGTGCTGTCTTGTTAGCACAACAGGCTCCTTGGGCCCCAAACCCCACCTGTGCGTGGCCTAGAGGCCGCGCCAGGAAGCAGCCGCCCGTCCTGCCGGGGGAAGGGGTGTGGACGTGGGGGGCGCAGCCGCCTGAGCCCGCGGCTCCAGGAAGGCCACAGAGTCAGAGGAAGGCGTCACCGCAGCCCTGCCCAGGCCTTGGTGGGCTCCCCTCCCAGGCCAGCCTGAGAACCCAGGCAGGGGTGTAGGCTGGCCACGGGCTGGCCGCGGGCGGGCTTGGACCTGAGAGCACAGCGAGGCTCCGAGGAGTGTGACTGCCCGCTGGGCTCCAGTCTGGACAGATGGCCACAGGCGGAGGCCCCTCGCACCCCTGACCAGAGGCCGCACTCCAGGTGACCAGCAGGCTGGTCTCCAAGGCCTTCTAAGGGGCCTCGGCAGCTCCTTCCCAACCCCGGCCAACACCGTGGGAGGCTGACATTCTCTCCTGCCCGAGGCTGGTCCCCAGCTCTCTCCTCAGCCGCGCAGGTGAGCGCACGCCCGGGAGCCGGCCTCCAGCCCTGCAGCCCTCCCCACGCGGGGGCCCTGGTGCCGGAGTCCCTCTGGACGTCCGGGCAGCCTCTCCTCCTCCGCCCTGGGGGTCCACTAGGCCGAGTCCTCCTGCGAGCTCTGCGGACCCCTGGGGTCTGGGCGCGGTGAGTGCAGCCCCCAGGCGGCCATGTCGCCCCGGCACCCACGCCAGGGGCCGGGCTCCTGGCCTTGTGCCCGCAGGCAGGCGGCTCCAGGCGCCAGGCGCCAGACGCGCGCTCGGTGCGGACAGGCCGTGAGAGGCCAGGCTGTGGTGCGCACGTCGGAGCCGAGTCCCGGGGCTGTCCGCCCGACGGTCGCCCTGAGGTGGTCCCGGGCCTCGCCGGCTGCCCCCTGCGCCTGGAGGTGCAGGCCCCAGGCCAGGAGCCCGCGGACAGACCTGAGCCCGCAGCAGGTGGAGACAGCGCAAGCGGGGAGCCCGCCTTGTGGAGGGCGAGGCTCCGCACAGCCGCCCCGCCTTTCCTGGGGCCCCAGAGGCGCTCCGGGTGCCGCAGTGCGGAAGGCCCAGGCCCAGGCGCGCAGGCCGCGCAAGAGTGGCCTCGGGCGGGCGGCGAGAAGCAGCCGCCCGGCGGGTCCCCGGGGCGCTGAGCCTGCGCCCGTCCCAGGGACGCGCCCCACCCGCAGGCGGAGACGGATTTCGGGGCGCGCGTCCCGCTGTCCAGAGTCCGCGTCCAGCGTCCACTCGCGTCCACACCGGCCCCGCCGGGCGGGGGAGGCCCCTCGTGCGGAAGGGGAGCCGGGAGGCCGCGGGCACCCCTGGGCTGGCGGAGACAGGTAGGCCGGCCAGCGGGCCTGGTTTTGCTCGGGAAGCGGCTCTCGCTCCTGCGCCGTCACCGGGTTCTGACCCAAACGCGGAGGCGCCGCGACCCTCACAGCCCAGCAGCCGCCGCCCACAGGACAAGTGTCCACCGCAGGCCCCGGCTCTGCAGACCGTGGGGGCGCGCCTAACCCCCAGGCCTCGGGCGCCTGAGGGAGGGAACTTGGGGCACCCGGGGCAGGGCCGGGTCCCCACGAGCGTCCCTTCCAAGCCGGCCAAGGCGGGGCAGGGGCGGCTGCTGCTGTGGCCTCGCCCGCGCCCGGGGTGCGCCGTCCCCAGGCGGGCTCCACCCCGGCATTCGGGTGCTCCCCGGCCTGAGGTGGAAGCTCATCGGCAGCACAAGCTCGTCATCTTTTTCTGAATAACAAAGCTTTTGTCTGAAAACCCAGGCTGTCCTTCAACTGTCCTGCCCCCCCTTTTATGGGGCAACTGGCCTTCCAGCTTTTTCTTGCCGTTTAATCACTTACTGAGTGAAGGAGGGCGGCCCGGGCAGAGGGACGCCCGTTTGGCAAACGATGGCGAAGTGCAGCGTGGGCTTTAAAGTCATTCTCCGGGAGCAGGGAGCAGAGCGCTCCCCTGACGGTCACTGAACGTGCGTCCTACAAGCGAGCCACCCAAAGGTCCTTCCTCTCTCCCCGACCCCGGGTCCAGTGACCCCACAGGGGACCCCACAGCCTTCCTGGGGCCCGGCTGAGAACCTGCTGGGCGCTCCCTGACTCAGATGGCCCCACGGACTGAGGACCCTGGTCAGATCTGGTGGTCAGCTTGGAGACCTGGGACACTGGACCCTCTTCCTGGCTCCACCGCCACCTCCCCTGGAGGCTGCCAACTGACCATGAATCCCAGGGATGTCCTGCTGGCCCTTGGTGGAAGCGAGGCTGGGCCACAGCCCCGAGCTCCTTCCCAGCAGCTGCCCCTCCACCGGCGTCCACTGGGCCCGGCTGCCCCTCAGCCACCGTCCAGGGAGGGAGCTGGGAGCTGAGCTTCTCCTGCCGCAGCCAGAGGCCAAGGAGGGGTCACGGCCAGTTCAGGTCAGTCACGTCCAGGTCAGATCAGGCAGCTCAGCACGGCGACCGAAGGTGGAGCCCACCGAGATGTCCATCTGGGGTGAGTGGGCGCCCGAGGCCGCACATCCATCCGGGACAGGGTTCTGCTGACCGGCTGGCCAGAGGGATGGGCCGGAGGCCGCAGGCCAGAGGACCTGGGGCCCCACTCCCACAGCGGGAGGCAGATCCGGTGCCCCCAGGACAGTTCCCCGTGGGGGGACAAGAATGTCCTGGAGCTGACGCTGGGGACGCCGCAGCACAGGCCGAGCGTGGTCAGTGCGCCGAGCCGTGCGCCCGCAAGCAGCCGAGTGGCGAATTTCGCTGTGTGCTGCGCTGCGGGATTTTTAAAGTGCTCTAAAGGGTGACTGGCACAGCCCGGCCCGGCCCGGCCCCGCCGGCTGTGGCGATCCCAGCTGTGCCCTCGCCGCGGGCCGCCCTCTGCCTGCGCCGCGAGTGAGTCCCCGACCTGTGCTCCCTCCCGCTCGCTTTGGTTGTTTTGGTTCCTCTGCATTTCCACGCAGCCTCGCAGTAGAGGCTTGTCTGTAACCAAACAAAACCCTGCGGGGGGCGCGACTGGGGCCGCATTAAGTCCTCAGGTCAGCTTGGGGACAGTGGGCGTCTGTGTGCCGCCGGCTGCGGTCACCTCAGCACTTAGGTTTCTCCCAGCGGCGCTTTCTGTGCAGGTTCCATTCGACGTGCGCCTGGTGCTTTGCTTCTGACGCCCTCGCGCGGGGCGGTGGTTCTGCTCTGCGTGTCTTGCTGTGCGTGGCTGGCGCGCTGCTCTGTGGAAGTGGCCGCCTGAGTGTCCTCTAGCCACAGGCATCGCCACCGGCACGTCGCATCCTGTCACAGCTGCAGGGCAACAAGCTCGGGCAGCTGGCAGCTGACGGGCAAGCAGGGGCAGGCCGAGGGCCGCTCGCCACCCGGGGCGTGTGTGATGCGGAAACTGCCCCAGTCTGTCCCCCCCGCCTGGCCCCGGCCCGCGCGCAGCTGTGTTCTCCGCCTGACCTGGACCCACAGCCCGCGCACCCGCCCCAGCTGGCGCCTCCTCACGCACAGTCCGCGTGGGGCCTATGCCCCTGGCCGGCTTGTCATCGAGCTGCTGGTCCTTGATTTGAGCCCCTGGAACGAAAGGGCACAGCCAGCTCCATGTGCATCTAAAAGATCAAATTACTTCCCCCCCAAATATTGGTGCCCAATGTTTTGACTGTAAAAATCACGAAACGTTATTTTTCTTTGGCGCGCAGAGCGGCTGCGCGGGACGCTGTCCTTCGTCGACTTCTTAGCGTCTCACAGCAAAATAAGCCACAGCCGTCCGAGGGCGAACGTTCACTTGTTTGAAACCCTTGACCCAACGTCGAAGCCCTTTTTCTAGCTGAATCCCAGGCTGGGGTGAAGGCGCCTGGGCCTGCTGCGCTGTCTGTCCCTGCGGGTGCGCTCGGGCGGCGCCAGGGGTGGCGGGAGACCTCGAGGGGGCGTCTAATAACCCAGCAGGCAGGTGGCCGCTTAGGACTCTTGTCCTGTTAGTCGCTGAAATGGTTTCCTGGTTCGTGTCTGGCGTTTCAGTTCTTTGTTTTATTCCTGCCCTGTCGCTGGGGAAGACCTGCCAGGCCGGGCGGGGCTGCAGCCGAGAGCTGTTGGTCAGGGGCGCCGCGCGGCAGAGGGGGGCAGCCCCTCATCCAGGCCCGCCGAGAGAGGGTCAGAGGAGGACGGGCGCCCAGGGCCCTCCCTCAGCCGCAGCCTGGGGTGCAGCCCTCACCCCCACGGAGCGCCCGCTGGAGGCCTAAAGCGCGACACCCCAATAGTGGGGTGTCCTCGGGGCCACGTCCGCCAGGGCCCCCCGCCATGGGGTGGGCCAGCACCTCCTTGCCCGCTCCAGCTGCTGCAGTGGTGCGAAGGGGCCGGCAGGCGGGCGCAGCCAGAGACGGAGGACAGCGTCCAGGACGCCGGCCCCACGGCTCCATTTTCCTCGGACGCACAGGCTCCGCCCCAGCTGCACCTGGCCTGTTCTGAGACGGGGGGCGCACGCTGCTGGGGCTCTGGAGGCCCGCCCCGCGGCACCCTCCCCCGCGCTCTGAGCGTCTGGCCCTTGCTGGGGCTCTTGGTGATGGGAGGGCCCCGTGTGCCCGCTCCAGACCAGGCCCGGGCATCTGGTGCCACGCCAGCCGCACTCCAGGCTCCGCGCACCCCGGCCCAGCGGGCAGCGGCGAGGGTGCCCCTCCAGGCCCCGCCTCGCTCCCCTGGGCGGGTTCCAGGCTGGCCTGGGCCGCCTCCGCGGCCGCCGGCACCAGGTCGGGGGGCAGAAGGACCTGGACCCGCAAGGAGCAGAGCGGCATCCCCGAGGACGGACGCGGGGCCGCGGCGGGAGTCCTCAGTGGTTGCTGCGCCCTGTTTTCCAGGACACACACCACGCGGCGAGGACCACCCACTACGGCTCGCTGCCCCAGAAGTCACAGCACGGCCGCGCCCAGGACGAGAACCCCGTGGTCCACTTCTTCAAGAACATCGTGAGTGCGCCGCCCGCCGCGGGCGCCAGGGGCCCCGACATGCCAGCCTCGGGAGCGCGTCTGCCCCGGTGCCTCCTCCGGGGAGGCTGCCCGTGGGGCTGGCACCTGCGCCCCCGCCCGTGTCTGCAGGACTCACTGGCCCGGGAACGGGACGGCCCGAGGCGCTGGCGTGAAGGTGGCCGGGAGGCGGGGCGAGGCGGCGGGGCCGGGGCTGTCCTCCGCCTCCTGCTGTGCTGCCTGGCGGCACCCGGGCTCGCGGGTGGAGACTCTGCCGGGGGCGGGGGCGGCAGGAGGGAGAGCCCCGGCTCGGGATGACACGTCTCCCCTCGGCAGACACCCGAAGGGCATGTTTTGCCTGTGGGCACCTGAGTCTTCGGAGCCTCGGCCCGGGGCGTCCTTGCAGGCTCCTGCGGGGGCTGCACTCAGCCCAGGGGCAGCGGGCGGGGGCTGGGTCCATCCGCGCAGCACGGCCCCTCCCTCTCCGGTGACCTGGGAGGCCCGTGGAGCCCTGGACCCTGTGGGTTCCCCACTCGGCGCGGACAGGGAGGGGGAGCGGGCAGCGGGGCTGGTGCCCGGTAGGCGCTAGACACGGCGCACAGCGGGAGGAGGCTGGACGCGGGGCCCGGCTCTCCCGGGGCCAGGCTGCTCACGCTTCTCTGTCTCCGTAGGTGACGCCGCGCACGCCCCCTCCGTCGCAGGGCAAGGTAAGGCCAGGCCGTCCCCTCGCCGCCTCCCCGCAGCCCTCGCTGTCCCGGAGGGGACGCACCACCTGGGCAGCGCCCACGGGCTCCCTGCGGCCGTGCGGGCCGCGCCGGCAGCGCCCCTCCCCGCCTGGGGCAGGCCCCAGCGCAGTGTCCGCCCGCGGGCTTCCTTCCCGCGCCGGTGACCCGGCTCTCTCTCTCTCACAGGGGCGAGGACTGTCCCTCAGCAGATTTAGCTGGGTAGGTGGCCGGCGCGCGCCTCTCTCCGCCCTAGAACTCGCGGCCGCTGGCGTCTGCTCCCGACCCCGTCTCTCCTGCCGCCCGCTGCTCTCCCTGGCTGCCCCCCGCTCAGCACCCTGCCTCCGCCCCGCGCCCGGGGCCGCGCAGCTGGGCCCAATGTCTCTCACCCAAGGGCCCGAGATCCACGGCCCCGCCCGGGAAGGCGCTGAGCCGCGTGACAGAAACTCCCGATTTCCTCCCAAGGCGGCGACGAGAAGGCCAGCCCCGTCCGGGCGTGGGGGGGGCGGCCCCAGCTGCAGCAGCCCCTCGCCCGCCGGAGGAGGCAGGGCCAGCTTCCGTGCGCAGAGGCCCAGCCGATGCGCGAGACCCGGCGTTATGGGGGCCGTAGCGGCAGCTGCGGCTGAGACTGGCCGGGCCGAGCTCCTGGGGAACGTCAGGCTTTAGACACCCAGAGGAGAGGGAAGGTTCAAAACGGTCCTTCGGGCACTTTCTACTCACGACATCTCTGGTCCGAGCCAACTTAAAACGCCACCAGTGTATTCTAGTGAAACAGCAAACATGGTTCTTACTTTAGAAAAAGTTTCATTTTCAGAACAAAATGGAAACTGACCTCCAGCGCCGGGCCGGGAGCTGTCTGTCGTGGGGACACAACGTCCTGTTCTCTAGTAGAGGCCCCTGTCCTCCTGCTCCGTCAGGAAGGTCCTATAAATGAAGGCACGAAGGACAAAAGAGGGGAGGGGAGGGAGGGAGGGAGAGGGGCAGCGCAGGCAGGGGGCAGGGCAGGCAGGGGGCAGGGGCAGGGGCACGGGCGGCCCAGACCCGGGTCACGTGGCTCGCGCTGCACGGGGTCAGCTGTGTCGCCCTTCACCTGATTGTATCTGGGCCCTTTTCTGACCTAATGAATTTGCACAGGGACAAAATGCCGGAAACTCGCACGAGCCGGTGCCCACAGACAATTAATGCTTGACTTTCTGTGCCAGCAGGAAACAAAGATGAGCCTGAAGAGCCAGATCCATTTTAACTCTAGAACCTTCTTTTAGTGAGCGCTGAGCTTTCTCTGCCTCGCAGCCCCGCTGGTGTGGACTCCGGCCTGGCTTCCGGGCGCAGGGGCGGGCGCCCGCCTGGGAGCTGGCCTCACCCGCCCGCCTGCCCTGCCCCCGCTGCATCCACCTGCCTGGGCCGCCTCTTCCTCCCCAGCGAGCCCCCGCCTGCGCTCCACCCCTGCTGGTTCCGACCCTCGCCGCTTTGTTTTTCCAAGCTGTGTCGTCCGTGTCGTGGTAGATGCCAGGGTGTCCACAGATAGAGGTGACCAAGGACCTGAGGGAGGAAGAGCCACGCGCCGCTGACCTGAACCCCAGTCCTTGGTTTCAGTTCTCGGACGCGCTTTATTTTTGGAGAAAAACAGGAGAACGAGGCCCAGTGCCCGCTGGTGTGGGGAAGGCTGGTCTCCACCAGCTCCCGTGTCTGTCTGTCTGTCTGGCGCAGCACTCCCTGACCATCACCTACCCCCCGGGGGCCGGCGTGGAGACGGCGCGTCCGTGGAAATCGCCAGGACGCACGGGCAGACCTGGCTGCTCTCCCGTACGCGGCTCCACCGGGTCTGCAGCCGGCATGGGCACCCAGTCCACACCCGTCCTGCCCCGCACACCTCTGGAATCAGGGGGTCAGGTGGCTTCCCCTCCCCAGAGCTGAACCCCTTCGTGACACATGGGGCTGAGGGCCCGCCAGCAGCCTGGGCTCCCCAGGAGACGGTTCTGCTCTGTGGCTGGGACCCCCTGGGGGGGACCGTGCAGAGGTCCTCCCCGTTCTTTGGGCAAACAAAGCAAACTCCCTGCGCCCGTCCGTGAGCACGTGGGTGCCCACCTCAGGCTGGGGCGCCACCACCCCAGATGCTGAGTCGTCGGCTGTGCCTCCCTGGGCTCCTGCCCGAGCCCTGCTCACGGGGGACCCCAGCCGGAACTGGGGCAGGTCAGGCAGGAAGGTGGGGCGCAGCTGCAACATGGCTTGCCTGTGCCAGTGCCCGAGGAAGCTTCGGAGGGTCTTCCCCGCCTAGACAGGGGCCTGTTCTGTCCGGGCCTGTGAGACCCGGGGGCTCTGGCCCTCAGGGCTGGGGGAGGCTTGCCAGCCCAGACCTGCCCCCACCCCGGCGGCCACTCAGGAGAGGGGGCCACACACTCAGGGCGGCCACGTCCAGGAAACCAGCTGTCGGGACCACAGAGCAGAACTTTGACTTGCACTTTGGCGACCCTCCTGGGTCTCCCGGGGTGTGGACAGACGTGAAGGGCCTGGCCGCAAGCGTCCTTCTCTGCCCTCCTGCAGGCCCAGCGCTGCCTGAAGACACCTGCCCCTGCTGGCTACTTGCTGGCCGGGACCCCTAACCGCTCCCAGAGGCAGGGCCGGCGCCACAGCCGCCCTGCGGCCCCTGCCCGCTGGAGCCCGCGACCCTCAGTGCCCGCTCTCTTGCAGGGCGCCGAGGGGCAGAAGCCGGGATTCGGCTACGGGGGCCGCGCGTCGTCCGCCCACAAGGGACTCAAGGCCCACGACGCCCAGGGCGCGCTTTCCAGAATCTTTAAGCTGGTAATGGAGACACCTGGGGGTGGGGGGCGGCCCGCGGGGGGGGGGGGTCTGCGGGTCCCTTAGCAGAGATTCACGAGGCCGCGGGGCCCTTGCTCAGCATCCAGAGGGGCCTAAGGAACATCAAAGCACGGTCCCGGGGCCCAGCCCCTTCCCGCCGCAGCGCCCAGGGCTCCCTCCCGCCGAGGTCCGAGACCCTCCGCCTGGCGGACCCCGGTGGGGCGCAAGGGTTTGGGCAGGCCCCGAGCCGCCCGGATTCGCGCCTGACTGCAGCTCGGGCGGGGGCTGCGGGCCCGTGTGCGGAGGCCCCGCCGGGTGGAGACGCGCTGACCCGGCCTCAGCCCAGCTCCGGGACGCGCGGGGGCGCAGGGGCCGGCGCTTTCCCGGGTGGGCTCGGCCGCGTGCCGTGCGCGCCCTCCACGTCCACACGAGCAGGGGAGGGTCCCCCGCGCGGCCGCGCCCTGATCCTGGAAGGTGGCGACCAGAGGTGGGGCGAGCGAGCTCTGGGCCCCAGAGCAGCAGGCCCCGCGCCCCGCCTCGCGCCCGGGCCAGCCTCCGCCCTCCCCGCCCTGCGCCCCGGCGGGTCTGCCAGCGCCGGAGCTGCCGGAGGAGGGACTCGGCCGAGGCTCCACACGACCCAAAGGAGGGTCGTGACGGGGCCTGGGGGCCTGCTGGGGAGGCCCCACTGCGCCCCGCGCCCCGGCTCCGCCCTGACCCCCTTCCTCTCCGCAGGGAGGCCGGGACAGCCGCTCCGGGTCGCCCATGGCCAGACGCTGAAGCCCCGCCTCGGCCCCGTCTCCCGTCCTCAGCCTCTTAACCTCCCGCCTCCAGACTCTAACACGGCCCGCGCCGGAGTCCCGGCCCCAGCGCCCGCGCCCCGGCCCCGCGCCTGCCCCGCCGCCTCCAGGCCGCGCCCCCCCGCCCAGCCCCGGCCGGCAGCTCCATGGCGCCGCCGCGACCCCGCTGCGCAGCTTTTACCTTTAGGGAGAAAAATGCCCCCGACGGCGCGCGCCCGGGGCCCACCTGGGAGTGCCCGCGCCCAGGTGCCCCTGCCCGGCCCCCGGGCCGCCGCCTTTCCGGGGCGCTGCCTGGCGCTGCTGCCCGGCGCCCCCGCCTGGGTGGTGCTGCCCTGGGGGCGCTGCGGCAGCCCGGCCGCGCGCGGGGTGGCCGGGCCCGTGGTGCTCCCCGCTTCCTTGGTGTTCCTCCCCGCCCTCCTCGCGCCCGCCCCGCGCGCTCTCCTCCTCCCGGCGGCGGGCGGCCCGGCTCCGGCCCGGCGGGCTTCGGTACGTGAGAGGCGGCGGGGCTGTGGACGGCGCGCGGCGCGCACGGCGGGGCGGCCAGGGGCGCGCCCCGCTCCCGAATGAGCGCCGTGGGCGCGCGGCGGAGAGCACGGATGGACGGACGGATGGACGGATGGACAGGAGCGAACGTGGCCGGGGCGCTGGCCCCCAGCGGGGACGCGCGGAGCGGGGCGGTGCCCGCCCCCCGCCTGTTCCCGCGCGGGCCGGCCGGAGAGCGAGGGACTCGCCCGTGCGAGCGGGACGCGGGATGCCCGGCCGCCTGCAGGCCGCGCCGGCGGAGCTGACCGGCCAGGGCGCGGCAGGGCGCCCCGGCGATGGCTGGCCCGGCCCGGGCCGCCGGCGCGAGCCGTTCTAACCGCTGCCTCCCCCCCAACACCCACCCGCCCTCTGCGGAGAGCGCCCCGGCCTCCCGCGCGCCCCCGGCCCCCCTCCCCGCGGACCCAAGACGAGGACGAGCCGGCAGGGGCGACCCTTTAATCCCCTTCTAATGTCCCGCGGGTTTACTGGACCGTCCACTAACACGCAGCGCGCGGGGCGCCCGGGGCTGGGGGCAAGTGGCCGCCGCTGCGGGCCCTGCCCGACCGCGCCGCCGGGGCCCGTGCCGAGCGCGCTCCTGCAGCCTCGGAATAAAACAATAAACGTTTAATGGCAACGCCGGGTCCTCTCGTTTGTGCGGGGCCGCGCGGCGGGGGCGGCGGGGGCTGCGCGGAGGGCGGCCCGGGACCCGGCGGTCAGCGCCCCGTCAGCGCCCGGGGGACGCCCGCGCGGGCCCGCGCTCCGGGCAGCTGTTCTAGGACAGTTCCGGCGAAGGACACGCGCCTCGGAGCTGCCCGCGCCGGCCGGGGCAGGAGCGCGTCCTGGAGGCGCGTCCCTCTCCGCGCGCTCCCAGCGAACCCCGCCCGGCGGGGGCGGCGGGCTCGCGGGGCGCCCCAGCTCCGGCCCCACCGCCGGCCAGCGTGGCCCGGGCGCCCCCCGCCCCGCCTCGGTCCACCCTCGCCGCGCCGCGCGGGGTCGCGCACAGGGAGCGCCGCCCGCGCCCGCCCGGTCAGCGCCCGCCCGACGGCCACGGCCGCGGGACGCGCACCTGGGGGCGCCCAGGGTCCGGCCCCGGAGCCCGCGCAGCGCAGCGAGCCTGGGGGCGGCCGCCCTGGCCGCGCGCCTGACCAGAGGACACGCCCCGAGACGCCGAGTCCGCGGCGACCGCAGGCTGAGCGCAGGCTGACCGCAGGCTGACCGCAGGCTGAGCGCAGGCTGACCGCAGGCTGACCGCAGGCTGAGCGCAGGCTGACCGCAGGCTGAGCGGGCCGCGCCGGCCGGCGCCAGGAGGCAGCAGGGCTGCGGGACACCGCGGCAGGGCCAGGGCCCCAGGGGGACTGGACAGAAGACGGACACGCCCTCCGGACAGAAGACACAGCACCCGCCTCACAGCCCCCCGCCCCGGTCCCGCACCCCCAGTGCCCCCCAGACCCCCGTCCTCCGTCCTTCCCGCCCCCCCAGCCCCGGGCCCGACCCCCGGCCCCCCAAGCTCCCCCCGCCCCCTGCCCCCCTTCCCGCCCCCCCGCGCCCCCCGTGCCCCCCTCACCACCCCGCCCCCTCGCTCAGCCCCGGGGCGGCCCTTCCAGCCCCCCCAACCGCCCGCCCCGCCCACCCTCACAGGGGCCACGCCCCCCAGAGCCCCGCCTCTACAGGCCCTGCCCCCACAGGCCCCCGCCCCCAAACCAGGTGCCCCGCCCTCCCAGGAGGCCCGCCCCGGGCCCCGCCCACACAGGAGCCCCGCCCACCAAGGAGCCCTGCCCCTGGGCCCCGCCCACACGAGAGCCACTCCCCGTACCCGCCCATACGGGAGCCCCGCCCCGTCCCCACCCACACAGGAGCCCCACCCCGCACCCCGGGCCCCGCCCACACGGGAGCCACGCCCCGGGCCCCGCCCACACTGGAGCCCCACCCCAGGCCCTGCCCACATGGGAGCCACGCCCCTGGCCCCGCCCACACGGGAGCCCCGCCCAGGGCCCCGCCCACACAGGAGCCCCGCCCCATCCCGCCCACACAGGAGCCCCGCCCGGGCCCCGCCCACACAGGAGCCCCGCCCCGGGCCCCGCCCACACGGGAGCCCCACCCGGGCCCCGCCCACATGGGAGCCCCGCCCCGGGCCCTGCCCACACGGGAGCCCCGCCCAGGGCCCCGCCCACACAGGAGCCCCGCCCCATCCCGCCCACACAAGAGCCCCACCCGGGCCCCGCCCACATGGGAGCCCCGCCCCGGGCCCTGCCCACACGGAAGCCCCACCCGGGCCCCGCCCACACGGGAGCCCAGCTCCGTCCCTGCCCACACGGGAGCCCCGCCCAGGGCCCCGCCCACCCAGGAGCTCCGCCCCGCCCCCCCCACACGGGAGCCCCGCCCTGGGCCCCGCCCACACAGGAACCCCGCCCGGGCCCCGCCCACCCAGGAGCCCCGCCCCGCCTCCGGACTGGCGGCTCGGGAGCCCGGCGTCGCCGGCTGGGGCGGGGGACGCTAGTCCGCTGCTCCGGGGCACGGTGACCCCGCGCCACGCGGATTGTGTGCGGAGAGGACAGGCGTGGGGGTGAAGCCACCCCGAGGCGGGAATGGGCGTTCTCCGGACCCGTGAGCCCCGAACGGGCCGGGTGTGCCCGCGGGAGCGCAGGGCCGTCGGGCGGGGACCGTGCTGGCCGTGCTGGCCGTGCTGGCCGTGCTGGCCGTGCTGGCCGTGCTGGCCGTCCTGGCCGTGCTGGCCGTCCTGGCCGTCCTGGCCGTGCTGGCCGTGCTGGCCGTGCGGGCGGGGGCCCCGCGCAGGGGCGAGGGCGAGGGCGGGGCGCAGAGCGCGGGCCTCGGCGCGGTGCCCTGTGCTGGCAGCTCCGCATCGCCGCGTTGGAGAAAGTGGATTCGGGAGCCCAGCGCCGTTGTCCCGGGACAGCGCGGCGCTGGCCACCCTCGCCCCACGGCCCGCACCGGGCGGCGGGTGACCGCCCTGTCCCGTCCCGACAGGAGCCACCGCACAGGTCCCGCGGCCCGTGAGCCCTCACCTGCCGCGGGCGCCGCGGATGCGGTGGAATAACCACTGAGACCTGCAAAAAAATGTCCATTCATAACTAAACTCAGCGGGGATCTGGGGACGGCAGCGTGGACTGACGACGTGTCATCGACTTCGAAGCATCTGCAGTCCTGCCGGTTTCCCGCGGGGGCCCAGGGGGCAAGAGGGGGCCGCTCCGGCAGAGCCCCACCGGCCGGCGACAGCACCCCAGCTCTGAGCAGGCGACTCGCCACCTTCCCAGGCCTGTCCCTGCGCGCCGTGCGGAGAAGGGGCTCCGTGGCGTGGACGTGCCCGAGACGGCCATCCCCCGCACACACCAGCTCTCGGCGCAGAGCAGAGCGGGAGGGCTGTGAGCTGGGAGGGACACACTTGGCCACCAACTCTGCAGACGAGGAGGCCGGCCAGAGTTGGCCCAGTGGTCAGGGCGGGCGCTGGGCAGCGTGGGGCAGGGGCCGCCACCTGCGCCCGGCTCTGAGGTGGCAAGAACACTCGCCCCGACAGGAGAGGCGGGAGGCTTGGCTGGGCCACGTCCAACAGCCAGCTGTCCTGGAGAGGCGGCCTGTCTGCTATGGCTGAGCACACACCCCAGCCCCGGCCACAGCCTCTCCACGAAGCCCAGGAGGTCGTGCCCCTGGTGGGCACCCCGGCACTGCGTGGGCAGCGTCGTGCTGCGCCAGGGGCGAGGCCGCTGGGCCCTGGGCGCATTGGTGCCACGGGGTGACGCACCCCTGAGCTCTGGGCTGCGGGAGTCTGGGGCTGTTTCCAGGAAGGACCGACGCCGACACCGGAACGGAGTCACCAGCGTCCCAGCTGCGGCACAAACGCAGTCCCTGAACGGCTTCTGAGGTGGCAGTGGCTCGGGCCCAAGCACCCATGCGAGTGTCCAGACGGCCGCAGTGCAGGCCCACGCTGAGTTACCAGGCCACAGCTCACTCAGACCCAAAGAAGTAAATATACAGGAGTTTTGAAATTATACAAAAACTATTTTTATTATTCTTAACGCCAGTACAGTGGCTTTTGGCATAACTTCATTTCTGATACAAAATTGGATTAAATAAAATACCATCCAATGTATAAATAGACCGTGAAATGACTTTGAAGATTAAAAGAATTCTTCTGTAAATAAAAAAATTAACTTAAAAATTCTCATGGTGCATCAAGAGCGAATTATGTCACCTTAGACTGTCGGATACAAATCTCGATTTAACACAAAAGGCTTCGTGCCGTGAGCATCGCGCGTAAGGACACGAGGCCTCTGCGACGGCCCGTTGCTCCCGCCGAGCGCCGCCGAGCGCACTGTCCCCCGTCCGGGCGGCGCAGCGCCTGCCGGGGCCGGGCGGGGCCGGGGAGTCCTTCAGGACGGGGCCACGACGCTGGCCTGACAAGTCTCTACGGGGGATCTGTGGCTTCTCACCCCAACCCCACCTGCCTCCACTCTCGAGGCGCAGGAGCTGCAGCTGGGCCCCGCAGGGCTGGCGCCCTTGAGATCAGCCGCCCGCACCCTCCGTCTCACGGGCAGAGGACAGTGGCCTCGAGGAGACGCCTGGGCGCAGAGAGACCCACGGAGGGTTCACCTCTGCCTCACCGGAGACGCCGACTTCAGGAAGAAAATTGGGTAGCAAAGATCAACCCCTGGATTAAGTCTGACTTTTGCTTTTTTGATGTGTGGGGGGCACAACACTGGCTGCGACGGGCGAGGATACGCAAGCAGCAGGCGCGAGAGATCCCTGAGACGGCCCGCGGCGGGGAGCCTGTGGGGAGGAAGCCCCACGCAAGGGCAGAGCCCCGCGTCTGCTGCAGACCGATCGGGTGCCCGCAAGGGCGGCGTCTCGCCACGGAGCTGCGCGAGGACTCGGGGAGCACCAGCGGCCGCGGCCGGAGGCCAGGGGCCGGGGCCCGGGAGTGCACAGCAGCGAGTGGCGGAAAACCCTGCTCGCGCCGAGCCGGAGAGAAGCGGGGCTCCAGAGCGGCGGGGGCGGCTGGCGTGGGGGCGGGAGGCGCGCCTGCGGGGGGCCTGCCGCCAGCCCACCAGTGCTGGGCGGGAAACAGGCCTTGGGGACCCCCGCCCCAGACCCCCGGGCCTGGCTCAGGGAGGCCGCCGGTTTCAAGGAAGCCTCCAGGGGAAAGAAGCGGGCGCCGCCCCCAGCTCCTCCAGGTGCTCTGAGAGGCCGGGCCCCACAGTGCTGAGACCGCGGCCCCACAGGGTGCAGGGGAGACGACCCGAGGGCGCCCCGCCCGAGCCAAACCCGGCGTCTGGAGCGGCTCCCGGGGCGGCCGTGAGGGCCGGCGTCGCGCCTGGCCTGCCCAGCGCTGGGGGGAACCGTTGCGAGAGATTTTTCTGCTAAAAATTACCTGAACTAGAAATGAATTCACATGCCGAATGATTTTATAGTCAATGTTCTAAAAGGGAAAAATAGCACCCACGTCCTAACTTCACTCCGCGCGGACCGGCGCTCCCAGGCAGACACGCGGTGACGCGCCACGTCCAGAAACACAGGCGCCCAGCGCGGAGCCCAGACCGGAGACGCTCTCGTCAGGAGACCCTCTCGGGACAGCGAGACACAAGACAGCCCTGCCCTCCGCCCAAGGTTCAGGTGAACTGATGTCTTTGCTAAAGCTTGTATTTGCCAGGAATGTCTTGCAAAGCAGCAGCTTTTATAAGTAGAAAGTCAGTCAAGATCATACAGTGGCGTCTTCTTGGGTTGCTAATAAATCGCAAAAACTCATAAAACCAATCGTCTGTAAGACCCTGTCTCCCTTTTTCTGTAACCAAAATACAAGCGGGCATTCGATTCACCCGGCAAAGCCTTTCTGCGACAGCCCCCAGCGCAGGCCACGAACTGCACCTTCTGTGCCATCAGGAATGAAACAAACCCTTTCAGAGACTGTCCTGAGATGACGTTTAATGCTAAAACCAAAATAAATAATCTGGTAAGAGCACAAATTTTAAAATTCCAATAATTTCAACTTTGGGGATTTCAACCTGTTCATCAAAATCAATCAACATTTCTAAAATATTTTAATACAAAATTATAAAAAGAAAAGTGCATTTTAAAAAGCAGAACCTTTAAAACTCTGGCACAATTACAGTTATTCCGAACACACTGACTGACCAGGTACACGCACTGACATTCAAGGAAACTCAGAGGATAGGAGAGGCCAGTATCACAAGAATCAGTCAAATAAGGCTTCTTTTTCATAAAAAAATATACAATACACGAAGCAGTTTGAAAAAAAGTAATATTATTTAACAGTTTTCTGACTTAAATATTCTCACATAACAAAAGATTTATTTCAACCACCAATATTACTTATATACATATGCCAAAAACAACAGAAGTTTAAAGATGCCCTTTCAAAAAATAACAGTGAAATGTCTTTCTTTTGGAATCTGAAATGACTCCTCTCTTACTATACAAAGTCCATACAATATTTATAATAAAACTACTCTCTGCTGAAACCAGGGAGGCAATGAGAGAAATAAAGGCAATTATTTTTCAGGAAAAGAAAAACCAAGAACCCCAGCTTTATGCTACAACGGAGAGAGCCATTTCTGAATAAAATGAAGCCAATACTGATCTGAAGTGCTCGCAGGAGGTAAGACCCGGATGCTCTGTCCCTGGACCAGGGCTCTATTTACAAAATATACTGCTCAGCCGCACAGAGGCCCATATATCTGTCTATGTACACGGGTATTTATATATAGAACATATAAATAATTTCAAAGGAGAAATTCACATGAAGGAAGGAACTTTCCATCTTTGGAATGCTGTCGGGGGACGCACACTCTGCCCCAGCGTGGGGTGGGATTTGGTTTGGGACACGTTTAATGTGGCACCATCGATGAGACTAAAGAATTCCCTGAAATAAAAATACGTCTGTTCGCGCACGGAGAGGCAGCCACGGTCCGGCGGCCCGGCCTGACACCCCAGGCGGGCTGCTCTGCCACGGAGCCGCCCGCTGGGCCCGGCCCGGGCACCCCGTTCTTTCCTGCTGGCAACGTATGGCTTGTGCTTTCTGTGGAGGCCGCGGCCCCCCGCCCGGCGGCGGCGCCTCGGAAGTCCTGCGCCAGGCCCGCCCGGCCCGCGCCCATGCCAGGTCTGCGTCGTGTACCTGATGGTGAGATGCTTGCGACGGAGAGAGAACTGGTCCAGCCGCCTCTCAAGACATGAGTCATAGTAACTTAAGGTCACCTAAAAAAGAGTCAATTTCTACTAATTTCAAAACGCACAGAGAAAGCAACTGGAAAACACCTCCCTGTGCGCGAACATTCCCTCTGGGCTTTGCGCCCACCACGCGCTGTTCCGCAGCTCGGCTTCCACAGCAGACAGCGCGGGGGGCCCGTTTTACTTCTCCGTGTTAACGTCTGTCTTGGCCAACACAGAGAAATCACACTGCAATGATAGTGAGGCCCAGTCAGCTCCTTAACTGGACACGCTGGCCGTGGGGCCACGGCGAGGCGCCGGGCGTGGTACCTGAGGTCAGTGATTCGTAGACAAGTGAGAACAACGTGCTTACACTTTTCCCAGTTTTTTTCCTAAAAGTCTCTGAAAGACAGTGATTCTTCAGCTAACGCTACAGCTAAGCTGCCGTGACATCTGCAACACTCGCCGCTCCTAGGAGCAGGCCCAGCGCCGCCGATCCCAGCATGGACTCGCCGGCCTCGGGCTGCGTCAGAACACGTCGGCCAGGGCCTGCCACTCGCTGGCCGCCTCCTGCACCACGGCCTCCAGCTGCAGCGTGCGGCCCAGCTCCTCCACGGCCTGCTCCTGGGGGCCGGCGGGGTCCTGCAATGTCCCTGCGGGCAGGCGGGAGAGGAGTGTCTCAGATGCCAGCGGCAAGAGGCTGCGGGGGGCGGGGGGGGGGAACAGAAGCTGCACGAGGGGCTGGCCTGCTTCCTACACAGTGACCAGAGCAAAGCTGGGCTGCGGGGCCATCACGCTATGGGTGGCAGTCACCACGCCAGGCTGGCTGACAGGAGGCGCAGCAGGATGCGTGCCAGCACCCCGCAGACCCGCCCATGGGGCGTGCCCCACTCACACACCCACCGGCCCAGCAGACAGCCGCAGTGGACAGCCAGGGATGGCCAAATGCCGGCTGGACTGGGAGGGGCCATGCCGCCCAGGGCCACCTCGTCCGGCGGTCCCGGCGCCCCCTCCTCAGCAAGCAGGCGGGCCCGAGGGGCAGCACTGGGCCCCACTGGCTGCTGGGGCACAGAGGCGCACCAGCACTCTCTCTGCCCCAACCCCTGCGACCCACCAGTGTAGCTGTGCGCCCGCTTCATGTGCAGCTTCATGTTGCTCTTCTGCGTGAAACCCATGACGCAGTGGGCGCACTTGTAGGGCCTCTCCCCTGTGTGCTTCTTCATGTGCACCTGCAGCGCGCTCTTCTGGTTGAAGGCCTTCTCGCACAGGGTGCAGTGGAAGGGCCGCTCCCCTGCGGGGACAGCGCGGGACTCACCTGGGGCACTTCCCAAGCTTGAGCAGGTGAGACTGAGAGGGGGACGTGGGTTTAAGACGGCAGGACCAGCAGGTGTGCTCCGGGGAGACTCAGCCCGACTGCCGGAGGCCCCGCGGCGCCCAGCGGTGACAGAACCGCACTAGGGCTGAAGCGTCTGTGACAGCCGCCAGCGAACGGCGAGGCTGTGGACACGCCATGCGGCCCAGGACCAAGCGCCAGGCAGGGGAGGGCAGGACAGCAGGAGGCCGGGACGCAAGCGACGACTGGTCGCCTTCCCACCCAGAAGCACAGCAGGCGGGGCCGCCGGGGAGCGGGAAGGCCTAAGGTCGCTGACTGATGGAAACACGGGCTGCAGAGCTGGGTGTTTGGCCATGAAACGAAGCTCAAAACGTTACACTAGAGTGTGACCAGCCTCACGGCCCGCAGCCCAGGCGGATGCGAGGCAGGGACGGGAGTTTATTCCTCCCTGTGCTGGGTTCGCCCCCGAGAAGGCTCGTGGCGGATTCCACTGGAGACAGGAGAGCCAGGAAGGGGCAGCTTGGAGAGAAAGAGGCGGCAGGGTCCTCCAGGACTGGGGGCGGGAAGCTGGTGGCGGAGGCACAGGCCGCTCTGATCCACATGCCCCCCTTCCAGGGCAGCCTGGCATGGCCACATCCTGCCCCCGGGACAGCAGATGGGCAGGCCCGGCCGTGGGTACCTGTGTGGATGCGGCTGTGGCGCTCCAGCTGGCTGGGCTTGGCAAAGGCTTTGTCACACGTGTCGCATTTAAACAGTCGGGGCTTCTGCGAGCTGACGGAGGGGCCGGCCTGGTGGGTCTGCACGTGCTCCTGGGGAGACAGAAGGGTCACGGCACGCTTCGCCCGCCCCGCAGCAGGGCACACAATCCTGATTTTCTGGCACAATTTCATTTTTCAAAAACCCCAAATTTCAGAAGATCATCAAGAGAAAATGAGGTGTAAGTATTAAAATGCCCTGTGCAGCACCCCAGAGGCGCCCCCTCCTGCCTGCCACAGCCCTCTGGGGGGCTGGGGGGAGTGAGCCACTCCCACAGTAAGCTCAGGTGCCTCCCCGCAGCTCTGCCACAGGCCCCGCAGGTTTGAGGGCCCTGTGCGCTGACAGGCGGCGACGCAGCTCCCATTACTTGACTTTGCAGAGACACCAGCTCTCGATCACCCGTGAGCACGCGGCCCTGTCTGCACACACAGGCCTGCCACGCCCAGGTTGCCTGGTGATGACACCCACCTTTGCCGACCCACCAGCAGGCGGGCCGGCACAGGCCTACCTTGAGGTGCGTGGCGCGCTTGAAGGCCTTCCTGCACACGGGGCAGACGTGGATGCGCTCCCGGCCGTGTGCCTCCTTGCTGTGGTGCAGCAGCAGCGCTGCGGAGGGAAAGGTACGGCCGCACTCCAGGCAGGGGTGTAGCCGGCCCTCCTTCTCGGCCGGGCCGCCCGCGGCCAGGCTGGTAGCAACGTCAGCCACCTGCGGAGTGGAGAGACCTGACATCGCATGGGCGACGGCGATGGCCTGCACGGCCCAGACCCTCCTGGCCATCCAGGATGGGGGGGGCTGCAGCGCGTCCAGCCGTGCCCTGAGAGTGGGCGGGGAATCGCCCAGGCAGGGACAGGGACAGCGCGGCCACACGGGCGCCACTGACGAGGGCGGATGCTACGCCCGCTGACTCGTGCCTCAGCGCCTGGCCTGCCGGTCACTCCTCACCCAAGGAACAGCAGCAACGGCACCTGCCCGCTAGCCAGGTGTGCCACGAGCAGCACCACCCCTTTGCGTAACCCCAAGATGAGCAGAAATGGTTCAAGTCTAGAACATTCAGCAAGAGGCGCTACAAGGTGCTTCTGTGGCGTAATGACAAATGGAATGAAAAAAATAGGAATAAACTAAAAAGACCAGAAGACCCAACATGCAAACAGGCTCATGCCCCCAAGGCCGTCTGACACCGTGGGGACCGCGTGGCCGGGGACGAGGACCCCACACGCGGTGCCAGGCGCACGCAGCACAGCTCCCGAGTCCAAAGGAGCAACGGGTGAGGCTGTCCTGGCACTGCTGTGGAAACCCACGAGGTGAACAGGGACAGAAACGGCCGGAGTTGCGGCAAGACCAAAGGCTGGGGCTGGGTGCAGAGGGCTGCTCCGAGCCGACGCCCTCACCAGCTGGGCCCATGGCTCACAGCCCCCCTCTGGCCTCCAGCCTGACACTGCAGCCCCCGCCCCCAGAGCGGACGACACCTTTTCTCCTGGAGAGAACAGTAAGCGGCCACCCTAAAACTCATCTACGAAGGCAGTGAATCCTTCTTAAATTCAAATTATTTTTCCCACACTTTAGTTCGAATTAGCAAATTCGAAACTAGATTTGCACAGCACCGGTCCTATGTCTCAGCTGTGTCGTCAACATGGGGTCAGCGGGACCCCAATTCTCCACACAAGCCAGCCCGGTGGCTACTCCCAGACCCTCTTGTGCCCCATCGCCGCCCCCTCAGGCCGGCCCCAGCCCCGGCTGTGCGGCATGCCCTGGGTAGAGCCGGTGGGAGCAGTGTGTACCTGGTAGGCCACTTCCTCACAGGCGGCAGACGGGGGCTGTGGGGTGTGGCTCACTAGGATGACTTGGGGCGAGCCCGCTCCTCCTTGGCCCGAGAGAGAGGGGTCCGTGAGTAAGGCTGGGAATTGCTGACCCTGCAGAGACAACCACTCTTTGAGAAGTTGTGACATCCAAACAGCCAGGAGCCACTTACAATATTGCTTACAGTGGTCTCTTCGGACAACACGGTGGCAGGTCCGCTCCCCCGGGTGCCCACGGAGCAAGAGACGGAGCGGTAACGAGCCGAGCGGTAACGAGCCGCCCACCCAGGCAGCAGAGGGGACTCCAACCTGACAGCCACCCAGTGGGAGGCCAGGCAGGGTGTGCGACTGTCCGGGTCAAGGGCTGAGTGAACACGTGCTCCGGCCGTAGAGCCAAATGCCGTGACCCGCTCGTGCATGCAGCCAGGCCAGCGAGGGTGGCTGGGCATGGAGACGGGTTGTGGGGTAACTGCAGAGGGCAGAGACTTTACTTTTGGGGGTGATGGAATGTTCTAGAACTAGAATGTACAATTCTGTAAATCTACCAAGGACTCATGGTGCACTACAGGTAGCGGGTGAGTCTCAGCGCATGTGCGCTGCATTTCAACGAAGCAGTAAACACCTACGTGTGCACACAAACACGGCCTCCACCGTGACGGCTCCGAGTGAGCCGGGCACAGGGTGGCTCAGGACACACATGCCGAGCGCCACTCTGCAGGCGTGGGCTCAGCGTCGTCACTGAGGGCCTGATGGGCAGAGCTCAAGGTGATGCCCAGCCTCCTGCCATGCAAAGCTGCCCAGGGGAGCAGCCTCGCCAGCGCAGAAGCTCGGGCGGGGGCTGTCCTGACTCCTCATGGCCAGTTCCCTCCACAAGCTTCATAAAGCCAGCCAGCAACATGCCCTGGAAGCGTGTGCTGTTTTCACGCCTTCCGGGAATTTATAACTAGGTGTTCCCCCAGAGTGAAGAAGGAGCAGCCAGGTCACGGCGCAGGCCAGGCCTGTTCTCTGCCGCTGCCTGCACTCGGCTCTGGCCCGGGGAGCTGAGAGCAGAGGTGAGGCCCCCGCGTGTGCCAAGGGCCTCCCAGCGTTGCTGCCCGTGTGGCTGCTCCCCCAGGGAGTCACGGTCAGAGGGAAGCGGGAGGGAGCCCAGGTCAGCTCGGCTCGACCACGACACGGCCTCACTTCCACTCATCACTGCGCACCATGGTGGGTTTTCCGCTCACACCGGGGCGTCTGGCTCAACGTGCACTGGGAACGCGGGCTTTGGACAGCCCGTGTGCTGAAAGGGGTCACCCGCACACCAGTGCCGAGGCCACGAGAACCCCCACACCGGCCCTGGGCGTGCCTGTCTGGGGAGCAAGGGCGCTGGCATGGGGAGGGGTCCGAACGCCAGCAGGACATGCAGGGGCACCTCCCACAGCTTGTCCTGCAGACGCGGTCGCAGACAGTCCTGTGCAGACGCACACTGCGCTCAGACGGCTGCGGACTGAGGTGCAGGCTCCTGTTTGGGTGGCAGATACTTTTTCGAGTAACTTTCTGTAGTTCCCGAATTTTCTTATTTTCTCACTTTTGCATTTAACACGACTTTTTTAATCAGAAAAAATTTCCACTTCAGTTTTGAAAGAAAATGTTCAGAGCATACTCCTGAGGAAGACGGGGCCTCCTGGAGAGGGCGCCCCGGCCAGCTGGAGGGCGTGCACCCACCTGAGAGGCGATGTTGAGCGTGACCGTGTCCAGGCCTCCGGACAGCAGGCCCTGAGTGTCGGCCAGAGTCAGGGTGACGCTGGCGTCCGCGCCCACTCCCGACGAAGACATGACCAGGCTCTGTGCGGCCACGGCGGATGGGGACATGGGCGTGGCTGCTGGGAGGCTGCTGGGGGCGGGGCTCATTTCTGCAAGAGAGCGAGGGAGCGGCTCAGGGAGCGTGAGAGCAGCCCGCGTGCAGAGGGTTGACCGGGTCTGTGCTTTGGGCCTGCGCCCAGGAAATCAGGGCCGCGTTCCCTCTAAGGGTGCAGTCACCTCCTGCCTCGAAGCCTAGCATGTGAGGAAACTTTCGCTCTACAAGAGTAGGGAAGCTGGACAAAGGGCACCTGAGCGCCCGACCGTCCCTCATGAAGCTGTGGTATCCTCGCCCGAGCTTGCTCACTGGGCTTGTAACACAAGAGGACACACCCTGACTTTAGGAAGACGCCTCCTGCCAGTTGTGTCCCACGTCAGCTGGTGCCAGAGAACTGACGGGGCATGGGGAGAGGGGTGGATCCCGCAGGACCAGGAGGGCTGCTCTGAGAGGGCACCCGCCTGGCAGCTGCACCCAGAGGCCCACCTTACCCAGCGCAGGCACAACGGCTCTGGGGAGCTCGGCCCTACCGCCGCACGAGCCGCGGGCACAGGGGATGTCTCACAGGATCCGGCGGGCAGCGGCTCCCCGGCGTGGGGGGCTGACTCCTGCTGACTGCGCCCCCTTCCACCATGGGGACCGGCAGGTGCCCCGCCCACGTACCTGAGGAGTTCAAGGCAGCACTCTGGGGGAGCAGCTGGTCGTTGCTGATGGTCAAGGTGGCCCCTGCGGGCTGGCTACCGAGCGCAGGCGCGGACAACCTTATGCTTCCATTCAGCTCACTGCCCCCGCTCGCGCTGTGCTGGATGAGGTCCTGACCTGCGTGGAGAGTTACACGCGGACGCCTCAGCCAGCAGCGCCCAAGCGCGCGCCAACGCCCTTTACAGTCATTTCATCTTTGACAGCGTTTACAGGAATAGATGAAGACCACGAAATACATTCTCTAAATCAAAATAATCATTTGAAACTGTACATTTTCAAAAATGCTCCTTACGGGTTCTGCTCTAACCCCGTATCCTGACATGCAGAACTGCACGTGGTGGGATCCGGCCGCCAGTGGCGGGACTATGTCCCAAAGCAGCACCACCCGCTGTACCGAGACTGCGTGCCCACAGCCCTCGGGCGCAGCGACCTGGTCGTGGGACTGGCCTCCAGGAAGGGCTGTGCCGGGCAGGCTGCGTGCTCACAAGCAGCTGAAGTACCAGCCTGAGACCGCTGGGCTGCGCCTCGGCGGGGACCCAGTGACCGGGCTGTGTGCCAGCGTCGGGGCACGGAAACAGGCGCACACGGGAACGAAGAACCAGGGGTGTTTCACTGAAAACCACACCAGGGCTTCAGGGAGACTTGATAAGGACAGTTGCCTTCAGAGGCTCTGCCGTCCGGTCAGACACAGCAAGACAACCACACAGACTGGAGGAAAACACAGACACAAGGCCGTGGTGCTGGGTGCGCGACCGCTACGGGCCTGTGCCCCACCCCAGACACAGACAGTGAGCCCCGCCGCGGACAGGAGGGGCGGCAGAGGCCATGGGCCCTTCTCAGCAGACGGGCCACTTGCAGGAGGCCCGCAGAAGTCTGTGGACGCTGCTTTTTGACTCTGACAGAGCAACTAAAGACCTCAGGTGAGAGGCTCTTCCCGTTGAGAGGCTGCAGAGCAGCCGTGTGCTTTACCCAAGTGCGCTGTGAGCTGCCCCGTGGACGCAGGACGTGGCTGAGCAACATCTGCACCTTAACATTTCTCTGCATGAATGGAAATAATAACCCCTCAAAATTGAAAATTCCTATTAAATATCTACACGTCTCCATCAACAGGTGGCCAAAAATAGAATGCATGATGATGACTAAGTACAGATACCTTCAGCTCCAAGTTTGGGGAAACCTTCTGCAGTGAACTGCCTTAAAGTTTTCAACTACAGGAAATCTTTTAAGCCAATTCTTTTTAAAATCATCTGCTTTTCTGAATAAATGAATAAACAAAACAAACAATGACGGCGACGACTAAACCATCAGTGACTGGCACAGTCGGGCGAGGCAGACGTAGGGGCCAGCCGGGCAGGACTCCCTGCAGGCCCAGGGCATGCTAAAAGGTAAATTTCTTGAACAAAACAGCTTCCGTACGTAAGCCTGTGGGATCTCAACCTGAAACTAGAAACACCGTGATGAGGAGACGACGGCTGCGCATCACCACAGCCCGCCACCCTGCTGCCCGCGCCGGCTGAACCGTGCCCCCGCAGCGCCCCACCCAGAGGTGTTTCCTGAGCTCCTACCCACGTGACAAGGAGCGCGGACACCCGCATAAAAGAGCGCGTTTGCCACGTCTCTCTATGCCAATAGTAGCTTCTGCAGGAACCTCGCCAAGGCAAAGTGACGCCTGTGGCTCGCAGCAGGCCAGCCACGCTGGCGTCTGCAGGTGGACACAGCTTCCGGCCCACACCTGTCTCCAGGAGGCTGTGTCGATGCGCCGCAGTGAGTCTGCCTCATGCGGCCCGGAGGCTTCATTTAATGAACTAGTATTTGTGAGTTTACGGGTGTGCCTGGCGCGCGGTAAGGGTCAAGTCCCTCCGAGGTGGCAGGGAGAGCTCACAGCTGGGACCGCAGGGTCTCACGTTACAACTCAGGCGGGAGTGGGGCAACCCGGGACGCCCTTCGCCTGAAGCGGGGCTGGTGTGGGGCTTCCGGGAGCCCCACTGCCATCAGGCATTGTCTACCCTCTTCTCTACTTCTCAGTTTGCTGCCATGATTAACACAATCTGAACAGGGTTCTGGAAAAACGAGAAAGTAGGTATCTTACGATGCCCTGGTGGACACAGGTCTTGCCACATACATGCCCCTTTTAGGTTAACAAGCAGGAGGAAGCGCCAGGTAGCCATGGTTTTCTGCTCTTTGCTAAACCAAAAATGTGCAACAGAGACAACTGCCTTCAACAAGGACACACTCATTTGTTAACCAGATTTGAGTTGTGACATCTTCTCTAATCTTGAATTTCTCACGGAAGTCACAAGCACGATTGTGCGCTGACTGCAGGCAAAGCTCAGTGCTGCAGAAGAAACCACAAGGTAAACGCAAATCACAGGAGAAGTGTGAGATGACTGACCAGAGATGGTCAGGGTGATTTCCTGTGGGGGCCCCGAGGCGGATGCAGCTGTGGGCCCCGCAGCCTGGGCCAAGACCTGACTCAGACTGGAGTTGTTGATGGTCAGGGTGATCTCGTGGGGGCCACTGGAGGTGGATACCAGGCCCTGTGATGTCATCACTTGTGAGAGGTCGTGAGTCCCTGGGCAACAGTACAAAACAAAACCAAGGTTGAAAAAAAACACTAATTTTCTCCTATTTTCCATTAAAGATAGTGGAATCATAATTTCGGAAAGAGAAAGATTCAAAATGAAGCATCTGTGCTCTCCTGCGCCTCCACCGCAAAGGTAAGGAGGCCTCATGTGGAGCTGGCAGTGGAAGACCAGGGGTAGGGGCATCTGCGCACCCCCTGGTGAGGGCCCAGCTGCTTCCCGCTGTGGGTACGAGTGCCAGGGACTCTGTCCAGGCTCGGTGGGGGCGCGGGCTCTGGGAGGAGCAGGCGAGGAGGTGCTCACCACTGCTGCTGGTGGCCAGCACGGGGTCCTGCTCAGATAGCGGGCCGATGGTCAGGTTGGCAGAGGTCACTGTGGGCTGCAAAGACAGGCCTGAGAGGGGCTGTATGACCACACTGGCCGGGACCGTGCCGTCTGGGGTCTGGAGAGCGCCGTTCTGCGGGGCCAAGCTGGGCTCCCCGGCCAGCTGCTGGGTCAGCAGGCTGCTCTGCTGCAGGGTCTGCTGCAGGATGCTGGGGTCAATCTGGAAAGCAAGACCCTGTGTGACAACCTCGTGCACCGTGCAGTTGGGGCCACGGCAGGTGCAGGGGGCGGTGGGGAGCGGGGGTGGTACCTGCAACGTGATGTTGTTAATGCTGGAGGCGTCGATTCCAGAGATCTGGACGTTCGGCCCCAGCACGCTTGCGGCCAGCTGCAGCTGTACGCCCTCCAGGGCGGCCAGGCCCCCATCCGCCAGGGACACCGTCCAGTCGCCGCCGGCTGCAGAGAGTGGGTGTGAGAAAAGCCTCTCAGATAGGAAATACTCCCTTGCACAAGGGTATCTCTAACACACACGCTCACTCACACGCACATGTACAACCTTCACGCCACACATATGCGGTGTTCAGCCGGCACGGAGCAAACCCTGCGGAACAGACGACATCACTGTCCTCATTAAACACGCCCGGAAACCAGGCTGGAGGCCGCAAGCAGTCAGAGGCTGGGCCAGCCCCTCCCGCCTCACCCGCGGGAGTCGCCAGCAGCTGCTGTTTCATTTCGGTCCGGGACTGGCCAAGCTCTGTGGGGCCTCAGCAGCCTGAGCGCCCAGGACCCTGAAGCAGCGTCCCCGCGCACTTGGGAGTGACCCCGCGCTGCTGCTGAGAACGTTGAGAAAGAAGTCAGCCTCGACCTGACAGCAGCAAAGGGAGCCAGAGCCCAAGCGCAGAGAGGCCGGCGCCAGGGTAGGAGATGGGCCAGCAGGTGAGCGTCTCAACGAAGAATGCGGCTTCTCCGCAGCGCATGGGCCTCTGGGAAGGGGGTGTCTCGGCTGCAACCTGCCGCGTGGCCGGCCCGGACGCAGGGGCGCTGCCAGCCGCCGCTCCGCCTGCTCACCTGACATGGCCGCGGGGAGGATGGCCTGGCCCACCAGGCCCTGCTGCAGCACGTTCTGGTCAAACTGCCCCGTGAGGACGGAGTTGTTCATGATGAACACGCTGGGGTCGGAGGGGGGCGGGCTGAGGAGGCCTCCGGGTGGGAGCCCCTCCGCGGGGCCCCGGGTCGCCGGCTTCCTGCCTTTCTTCGGGTCGGGCTTGTAGTGAAACTGCATGTGGGTCTTCCTCCGCCCCGACGTGCGGAAGCGCAGCTCGCAGTGGGGGCACTTGAAGGGCTTTGCCCCTGTGTGCAGACGCATGTGGACCTTCAGGCTGCCCTTGGTGGAAAAGGCGTTGCTGCAGACGTGACAGCTGAAGAGCTTCTGGCCTGCGGGAAGGCAGCCAAGCGTGAGCGGCGGCTGCCGAGCCTCAGGAGTGGCGGCACACCCGTCGCCACTCAGCCCCAGCACTGTGGCGACTTCACCCCCACGCCCCAGGGCTGTCCTCAGGGGCCGCGGGTGCGGGGACGGAAGCCCTCGACATGGTCCCTGCCCTTCTCCAGGGCTCTGCGAAGGGCACGGGCAGCGCTTCGTGTCCGCTTTTGCCTGGGCGGCGGCAGCCAGGCCCGCAGAGGAGGCTGCGCTGGGCAGGCGGGCCTGTGCCTAGCCGCGGGGGGCCAGCTCTTGGATGGCACCGGCAGGGAAAGGCTGGTCGCCCCGGACAGTCTCGGGGGTAGAGGACGTCCTGGCTTTCCGCGGCCTCGCAAGTCCGAGAGCAGCGAGGGGCACACCTGGCTTGGGGGCGCCTACAGGACCGAGAGCTGTGGGGGGAGTGGGGAGAGGGCCCGGGAGGCAGGGACAGACTGGAGCTCTCCATCTCGTGCGGGAGCCGGACTGACCCCGGTGCCCACAATGCCCCTCCCCCGGGTTCTCCTGGCCCCCGGTTCCCACAGGACCTCGAGGAGCCAAGCCTTGTCAGCCCCAAGGGGCGACGAACTGGCAGAGGCACTCGAGGCTGAGTGAGGAAACGAGACCCCTTGTCCCCGACACATGCGCCCGCTCCCTCGTGCCATGCGGGCTCCCCAGAGTGGGCTCCCGGCCCTCCGCCTGGTGCCCCGGCTCCTACCCCCGACGCCCGCGGCTGAGGGCGCCCGCACGCGGACACAGGCCACCTGGCGGCACGGCCGTAGGCGGCGCCCTCACCCGTGTGGGTCTTCACGTGGCAGTCGAGCGTGGACTTGACGGTGAAGCTCTTGCCGCACTCGTCACACCTGTAGGGCTTCTCCCCGGTGTGGATCCGCACATGCCTGGCCGGGAAGCACCTGCCGTTAGCGTTTCTGTTCAACCCCACACGAAGCCTCCGAAAGCTCCAACTCCTCACGTAACAAAGACCCGCGGCGCTGACACAGCTTCACGCCAGCACACAGCACCCTCAGGAACCCAGATGCCAGCCAAGAGAAGCGAGGCAGCGCCTCACAGCCAAGGCGCCCTCGCCAACGAGCAGCAAGACCCGCCGGCCCCAAGAGAAATGGGGTGCGAGGGGGCAGCTTACAGGAAAAGCGGCACAGCCACGGTTACCCCGAGCTGGACTCCGGAGCACACCCAACTGTTAAGACGCCCCCCGCCAGGAGCTCCCGCGGCCGGGCCGCACCCACGGCGGCGCCTCTGAGGCCGGGAGACGCGCCGGCGTGTGGGGGACGGGCAGCTCCTGGCCGGGCAGGACGCTGGAGATGAAGTGACAACGAGCGGACAGTGGGGCCTGCCCGAGCCGCCGCGCTCACCTCACCAAGTCACTGGGCTTCTTGAAGCTCTTGGGGCAGTAGGAGCAGCAGTTGGCGAACCGGGGCTCGGCCTCGAGCTCCGCCTGCCGGTCCCGCAGCTCGCTGATGCGGTCCTTCTCGGCGGCCGACTGCGCCAGCACGCGCTCCGACACCGTGGCGCCCTCCTGCGGCCGCGCCCTGGCCAGCTGCGCCGTCTCCTCCGCGGTGAAGGTGATGACCTCGGGCCGCGCCTTCCTGGCGACAGCGCCCCGCTCCGCGCCCTCCTCCTCCTCCTCCAGGCAGGCATCTGGGCAGAGCGCGGGCATTACAGACGCGCACAGGAGCCGAGCGCCAGCAGAACAGGCGGCGCACCCTCAGCAAGCCGTGAGGGGCACGCCCGCCCCGCCGGGCGCTGCTGAGAACAGTAACGGGCTCGGGGTCTGCTGAGAATCTCAGCCCACAGGGCCCGAGGCTGTGTCCTCAGAAGCCGCCTGTGCCGCCTCGGGCGGAAGGGGCGTTCCCTCCGACGCGGAACGTTAGTGACCCAGAGAGCAGGAGGGGCCTCCAGCGCAGCCCCCCGCAGGCTCCCGGAAGCAAAACCTAACTTGGAGAATCCCATGTCCACACGCTCCCGGGGACACGCAGGCTGCGCGCGCTGCCTGGATGGGCGCCACGGTCGCCAGCATGTGACAGGAAAGGAGGGCTGGGCGGGCGCTGCGCCTGGATGGCGACTAGTGGGAGCAAACCCCCTGCTGAGACCCCACAGCAAGGACAGGCCTGTGGGGCGGGGGGGGGGGGGGGGGGCAGGGACAGGGAAGCAGGTCGGGACAGGGAGACGAAGGCCCCAGCGGCGGGTCGGCCTTCGTATGTACCTAGTGGGCGGACGGGGGGCGGGCACTGCCTGCAGTCCTCCACGCCGCCGCGGCCAGCACCAGGAGCAACGCGGCCAGCACTGGTCTGCGCTGATGGAGGCCTGTGCTCGCCAGCCTCGCGCACAGCGAGAACACACTGGTGGGCGGGCAATCAAGTGGCCTGTGACCCCGAGACCACGGGGCGGGGCTGCGGCATGGGGTCTGGGCTGTGGGGAGTGGTGACCGGCCGTTCCCTTGGCGCCCTCTGGGCTCCCCGCAGATCTTGCGCTACTTCTACTCCAGGAGACAAGCGCGAGCCTCGAGGGCGCCGGCAGCGAGTCTGGCCCTCAGCGGCGCATGGCCCCGACGGCGCCACCCCGGGCAGTACCTCCTCCGGCCTCTCCCGGCGCAGACACGGCGGAGGGGGCGGCCTGGTGCCTCCGCATGTGCTTTTTGCAGTGGACGGTGGTGCGGAAGCCCTGCTCGCAGAACGGACACTTGTAAGGCTTGGTGCTCACGTGCGTGGCCATGTGCCTGGTGAGGCTGCCGTTGGTGGTGAACGCCGCGCTGCAGATGCTGCAGCTGAAGGCCTTGACCCCTGGACAGCGGCGACAGGGAAAGGGCACGTCAGGACCTCAGAGCCACCCGCGGCCGAAGCAAACCAAGGGTGCCCCAGCACCCTCACAGGGCCCACACCGCGGTCTCCGGCTCTCGGGCGCCGGAGGGTTCCGAGGACACGCCCACCGTGGACCCAAGGCCACGGGGCATTTCCCCACCGATGTCAGGTTCTGCCCGTCCCCCAGAATCATACTGGCAATATAGCTGTCGCTCCTACGCAGAAATCAGTCCTCAAACCCACCTTGTTTCATCGTTCCCATAACAAGTGACTTAGATTAGGTCCCTAAAAACCTGCCGCGCCTCTACGCAGCATGGCCGGCGGGGCCTGAGAAGACCTGGTGCATGCACAGAAGCGGGCACTGCCTCCAGCTGCCCTCGCACGCCAGGAATGCCTGGTTCCCCAGTCCCAGAGCTGCCACCTCCCTCCCCACGGGCACCCCACGTGGTGTCCCCCTGCTCACGCGCTGGTCTCAGGCGTGGCAGGCTTCCGGCACCGGCGACCTGCCCAGCAGCCCCACAGTCCCTGCCACGCTGACCCACGGACCAGCCTGCAAACGTGTCCCTGCTGTCTGTGGGCTCTGCGCACAATGCTCGTCCCTGCGCACAATGCTCGCTGACAAGGCCTGGCGCCGCACCACCACCGCAAGGAGCGGACACGGCGCGGACGCACTGGCGATGAGCAGATGGAAGTGACATTCAAAATACCCTTAACTCCAGGCCATGCATCTGACAAAGAGACAGTGAACTCCACCATGCAGTTAGGGTGCAGAGGGCGCCTCGAGAACAGCGTAGGGTGAGAATAGACTTTCTCCAAAAAGCACACGAAAAGATGCTCAACACCGCGGGCATCTGAGAAGTGCACGTCAGGACGCGGCCAGACGATGTCACGCACAGAAGGAATAGCACCAACAATGGTCAGCGCTGAGGAGCAGGAGAACCAGGAGCCCCTCCCACTGCTGGTGTACAAATAAGGGGGGCCGCTTGGGAAGACGAGGTGCAGTCAACGCTCAGGTTTAAACCAGCAAGGCCTCGCCCAGACAGAGTGGGACACGCGCCACAGAGGCTGATGCCAGTCAGCACTGGCCGTGACAGCCCGAAGATGCGGGCCGCACAAGTGCCCACAGCTGCTGCACAGCAGGTGAGTGGTTGCCCCACAGGGGTCACCCTCAGCTGTGAGAGTGATGGGTGCTGACAGCCTGCACCAGGAAGGCCTCCACACCGCTGGGTGGGGGACGACAGGGTGGGCGGCCACCAGCACAGCGTCTGCTGACGAGCCACGTCCCTGGAGGCCAACTGGCAGAGAAGGCCACGGAGGTGGCTGGTGGGGCCGCGCCTGGCACGGGCTGGGGGGGCGGGTGAGAGGGTGGCCAGGACCTGTGTGGGTCTTCTCGTGGGACTTGAGCACCCCCGATGACACGAAGCCGCGCCCGCAGAGCTTGCACTTGTAGGGCTTCTCCCCGGTGTGTGAGCGCACGTGCTGCTTCAGGTGGCTGGACTTCTTGAAGCCTTTGCTGCAGTAGTCACACCTGCCCACGACAGGGAGCGCAGTGACTGCCCGCCCGGGCCCACCCCATCCCCGCCTGCGGCCACCTGCGCCCCAGCCCTCTGACTCCAGTTTCTTGCTCCCAGCCCGTGAATCCTCCAGTGGCCCAGGGGCTGCATATTTAACCACTCAGAAACTCTTTCTTTAAATGCAGTGGCAAGAAAACTTAGCACCTGCTGCTCCCCTGCTGTGCCGTGAGACACAGTGAGCCCCTGCTCTGCGGTCAGCAGCGCCCGTGAGTCTCCACGCTGGGGCAGGCCGTTACGAGACCCTCTGGATTACAAAATAGTTTTTGAAACAGATTTCCTGCAGCTATTTTGCATACGTAAGTATGAAGTATTTTCCCCCACGGTAGTTGTGGAACTATGAAAATTAACTAGTGATTATAAATTTCAGGATTCCTGTTCATGCACCACAAAAAAATAAAAATTAAGACAGCCTATTCTGCTCCATGTCCCTATTTTTCTACTTCTGAAGTTTCACTCTGTGCTGGGAGGTTAGTAAAACTCTCAGCCTCAATCTCCCAAGACCCAGATCTGCAGCAGACACCCCCAGGGTCCGCGGGAAACGAAAAGCTGACAATAATTTACACACAGACACGCATGTGTGGGGCTCCGGGGAGTCACCTACTAGGACAGACATAAGCAAACAGCATTCTCCAGTCACTTTGCAGAGAATACTGGGCGTGAAATTGGGATCAATTCTAGTCCACGTGTCAGCAGAAGAAAGCGATCTGTTTGCAGGACTAAATCACTCGATGCTGAAAGCTTCTCTGCGCAGGAAAGCAGACTTTCCACAGCAGTCACGACCACCAGCGCTGGAGAGAGTGCGCAGCCGTGGAGACGCAGCCTCCCAGCCTCACGGCTGCTCCCAGTGCAGGCCCTGGTCGGGACTCCAGCTACCACTCTGGCCCAGCCCTTGTCCCCAGGGTCCAGGCACAGTGAGGCCCTGTCTGGCTGGAGGCAGCCATGCCACCATTCTGGCTGCTCCTCCAGGAGGTGTATGGGGCCAAGCTCCTGGTGCCCACAGAAGCAGCCCACAGAGCAGGTGGCCAGGTCACGAGGCCATGCGGCTTTGCCCTCATTTTCCACCTCACACTGCAAACGGCAGCGCCGTGATCAAGGTCTAGCAAAAGACTCTTGGGCTTGGGGGAGAAGCCTGACCCCATGAGTCCTACCAGAAAGTCACATCCTCTCCTCACAAGGGCCAGGAGTGCAACCTTCTCTCCCTGCTGGCCCAGGCTCACTCTGCTAGGCTCTCAGCCATTCGGGAGCCTTCTCTTGCTGACAGATGTGCACCCCGTGGCTTTAAACGCCAGTGCTGAGAGCTCTGACATGTGCGCCTCAGCCACCCCCCAAGCTCTGAGCAGGTGCCCTGCGCGGCCTCTGCGACATTTCTGCCTGAACAGCACTCTTCATGACCCAGAACCATCCTGGTCATCACACTAAGCCCTGCTGCCCGAGGGCCCCCTTGCAGGGACGGTCATTCACCCTTCTGCTGCCAGCCCGGGCGCAGACCCACCTGTAGGAGCGTCGGCTCTGATCCTCGCTGGCCTCCAGGAACGGGGGGCGGGGGGTCTGCAGGTCCAGTTCCTCCTGGGATGACTCCTGAATCAAACGAGTTGTCTACGATTTAACACAAGCACAAGCAGACTCCTGAATGTCCAGGGACGCACGCAAAGGACCTCAAGAACAGCGAACCCCTGGCTGCAGGAACATTCCACAATGGGATTTAAGAGGCAGAGAGAAGCCAAATAGATCACCGCAATCCCGAGGTCAGACCAATACTGAAAGTCACTGAGGCCAACTTTATTAAACGTTTTCTTCTAATTCATTATACTACGAAGTTGAATCAAGCACAGCACGTCACTTCCCATACTCACTGACGCATCCTGGGAAGAGACGGCCCCTCACCTGCTCCGCACTGGGCGTGCAGAATGTCCTGTTTCTAAAGACATTCAGTCCCTCATTGATCACAAAGACCCAGGGAGCAGGACACGTTGTTCACCCCAGGGGCTGTGGAGTGTGGGGCCATCACCCCAGGCACTGTAGCCCTGGGGCACAAGAAGAGCTGGGTGGGTAGCTGCTCGAGGATGCTGCGTGCGCCCACAGGATGGAGTGGAAGTGACCTTTGGGGGAGGGACAGACCTGGGCAGACCAGGTGCTGCAGCACGAACCTCCCTGAGTCCCAGCACCGAATGGGGTGAGCCCGATCCCACCCCAGTGAGCTGGGGCCGAGCCCTAGGCGGAGGGCTCTGGAGCGTAGGCAAGTGGCTGAGGGCAGGCTCCAGGCCTCGGAGGCAGCACCTGCTGTCAACCAGGTCACATCCTCGACAAGAACAGGCTCCAAGGCTGTCACTGGGGGCAGCCCAACAGCTGGCCAAGCTACCAACAGCGGCCTTTAAGGATAGGGAACAACGGACTGGCCAATCATCTCCATCACAATTAAAAAATTTCCAAAAATGTAAAAAATCAAAGCAAAACCAAAACTTAAATGCCTCTAACTTGATTTGGATATAAAATTAATTGTGGCGTTCAATATTTATTTTAACATGTAAGCATTCACTGTATTTCCCTCCAACACATTTAAGATTTCACAAATAACAAGCGCAGGTTCGGGGTGAAAGCAGCACAGGGTGCGGCGGTGGGGAGACACTACCCTCTCCTGACCTTCCCGCTTGTCGCCAGGAAGACAAGCTACATCGCGGCAATGAAATCTTTAAGGAAAACTGTTTTCAGGAAAATGAAAGACTTACACACCAAAACTAAAGTTTTTCTTTAAAGTCACTGTGTTCAGCGGTTAGCAGCAGGTCCTGTCCTCTAAGCGAGCAAAGCCTGAGCATGGGCGGGGCGGGGCGGGGGCGCAGGGCCCCCGCACTCACCACGGGCACGGCGTCCGGGGCAGGCGCCTGCAGTAGGTCCTGCTGGTGGAAGCTGGTGGAGAGGGCCTGGGATTCTAAGGTGCTAGAGTCTTGTAACTGCTGGACAGGGGGAAACTGAGTCTGCTGATTGTACGTGTCTGTCACTGTAAAACCTGAAATAAATTAAAAACAACGGTTTTATAAAGACACTGAAATTAGGCAAAAGCGGCAAACAACGGGCGCTCTCACACCTGTGCTCCCGGTGTCTCCTCGGGCCAGCGGCGGGCCGGCGCTCCCGGCACACGCAATGGCAGCTTGCTGGCAGGCTGAGGCCACCCCCACACACACGTCACCCCGAAGCCTCAAGCTCTTCTGCTCAATTCCCACCCTCCCCCCAACTAGAAAGCACAAGCAGAATGGCTGTGAAATCTGAGCAGGCCGAGAAACAGCACACGTCTGCATGCTGATACACAAGCCACGTGAAAGGTTATTTCACTTCCTAAATTTTGGAGGGACCGTAAAGAAACAAAGCTGCTGCGAAATAAAACCCAACGCGGCCCGAGCGCGCGGACCCCAAGCCGCACACTGACCCTGGGGCAGGCCGGCTGGCGCGAAGGGCTGCGCTGCAGGGACCTGCTCCTCGAACTGGTCCATGTGGCCCTGGAGCGGGGGCTGCGGCGCCACAAACCTGTCTGAGGGCGAGAGTGAGAAAGGAGGGTCACAGACTTGAAGAGCTCAGGCCTACCTGACTCCACTCTGAGGAGCAGGAAGGGGTGCAGAGCTGTAATCTCCTGACTTCCAGGCTATCACCCGCAGTTCCACCTGCAACAGTCAGTTCCATAGGGGACACCCCAGACACAGCTGCATTCAACAGCTATTTAAACCCTTCCTGGGTGTGTGGGAACCCGCCCGCAGACCAAGTGCCCGCGGGGATGCCCATGAGCAGAGCAGTGGGCGGGTCAGCAGCTGTCCGCGGCCGCAGGACACACACAGCGGGTGCTGGGCGCAAGTCCCAGCCCACGGGCCTGCGTCCTGCAGGAGTCCCCACCGGGAGGGAGAGGCGAGGCTGGCCTCCAGCGGCCAGCATGGGGAGCTGCAGGCCGCCCGAGTCGGGCCCAGCTGCAAGACACTGCTGACCGCCACACGGTCCTGGGCCGAAAGCCAGACGTTCTCAGGACATGAAGGCGGTGACTGCAGGCGCCTGCCCCCCGAGGTTGCAGCACGCAGACCTGCACATCCACACGGCACGAGTGTGGAGTCAGGGGAAAGGGGGTGGCGCGGCCGGCGTGGGAAGGGCCCAGAGCCACACGTGCGCTTCCACGCGCGAGCCCAATGCTCACCTTCCTCCGCTTCCAGAGGCTGCCCTGCCAGCTGCTGGCCGAGCCCCGTGTCCTCCGAGCCCACGACGTGCTGCGGCTCCAGGTCCAGCATGGCCGCGGGGTTTGCGGTGACCGTGTCTGCAGACGGTGGCAGCTCGGCACCCTCGATCTCCACCTGCATCTGCGCGGGCACCTGCGCGCTCTGCGGCTCCGCAGCGCCACCATCCAGCAAGGTCGCCTGCTGGTGCTGCTGGAGTTGCTGGGCGAGCTCGTACCTTCAAAACAGAAGCGACAGGCGGCTTATCGGAGCCCGCGGCAGCCACGGCCTTGGAGCAACCCTGAGCAGGCCCAGCCCACCCCCTCGCTTAGTCACCCCGACGTCGCGACGGCAACACACAGGCAAACTAGACACTGGCCACAGTGCTGAAGAAGTCCTGTGGCCTCCTCTTTGAGCACTCAGACTGGAGGGGTGAGGCAGCAGGGAGGACGGAGGACAACACGCACCAGAACTTTTTCGAGCTTGAGAAAGTAAAGCCAAGTTCATGTTTCACAGTAACAGTCCCCCGACACAAGCGCCGCCGAGACTCAGCTCAGCGGACGGCGGCGCTGACCAGACAGCGTCCTGACCACGTGTTTAGGCCACACAACTAGACAGGGCATGTTGGCCACAGGTCCCACCGACCACCCTCCCCGACTGTAGACAGCAAGGCCAGGGGCCCCTGACAGGACCCAGCGTGTGCGCCACTGCGGCGATGCGCCTGAGGAGCGAACAGGAGCTGAGCGAAGAATCAGCCCACTCTGAAGGGGGCTCAAGCCACGGCCGCTGCCGGCACCAAGAGACCAGAGGCTGCAGCCCTCTTGGGATACCATGTCCAGCCCTGCAGGGTCCACCTGAGGCTGACCCCAGAGTCCCTGCTGGATCCAGCCTCTCTCCTCCACCCAGGTCTACGCTGGCTGAGAGGAGAGAGCAAGAGCAAAGCCCTGGAGCGTCACCCAGGCCCTGCCAGCCGGAGGGTTTCCCGACCTCACCACAGCGCCCTCTGGGCCGCTCCCAAGGCAAGCACGGACGGTGTCTAGGGCATCCGAGACGGTATCTGGGGCATCCGCATGCTGCCTGGGGCTGGCAGGTTGGCCTGGAGGCGGCAGACTCCAGCACGCAGGGCCCTTGGTGCCACACACCTCCCAAGCAGCCACGGCCTGCGGTGGCCTCAGTGTCACCCAGGGCAAGCAGTGGCCCTCATAGGTGGTCCTGTGCACGGCCGCAGCAGCCCCGCGGCGCCGAGTTCGGGCTCCCCACACCAGTACCAGAGCGCGGCCCCCCTGGCCTCCTGGTGGGGACAGGGCAACTGCCAGGCCACTGAAAGGAGCAGCCAGCCCCTCGGCTCCTGGTGGCCCCAGGCAGCGGGGTGCCATGCTGCGAGGGGGCGGGCTCCCGTGGACCCCCAACTCCTGCAGCACGTGCAGCTACCACTCCACTGAGCAGCGCCTGTGTCCCACCGACCTGTGGGTCTTCATGTGCTTCTTGCAGTTGAGCGAGGTCTTGAAGGTCTTCTGGCAGTAGGGGCACATGTAGGGGCGCAGGTCGTTGTGGATGCCCATGTGGCGCCGCAGGCTGCCGCCCGTGGTGAAGGCGCCGTTGCAGATGAGACACTTGAAGGACTTGAGCCCGGTGTGGGTGCGCAGGTGCGCCTTCAGCACCCCCGCGGAGACGAAGCCCCGGCCGCACTGTGGGCACTTGAAGGGCTTCTCGCCCGTGTGGGACCTGGAGGAGCAAGCGGCTGACTGAGGTGGCGCCTGGCTGCTGAGGTCACAGCTCCCAGCCATGGCACCGAGGTCGGACCCGCCCTGCGTGTGTGCTGCCCCTCGCCGCCCGTCTCCCGGGATGAGGGCCTCCGCGCCCCGCCGCAGCGAGCCCAGGCTGGCTGGGAGCCGGCGAGGACGCCAGGAAGCCCCAGGGCAGGGCTCTAGAGGCAGAGGCCCCACGCGGGCCGGGCCAAGGGCACGGCAGGGGCGGACAGATGGGTCAGTGGGGGTCTCTGCGCTAAGCAGCTGGCCCAAGACACTACAGAATAAAAATGTCAACTGTCAATAAACATTTCGGGTCCAATGTTCCATTTAAAACGCAAAAAGGGCCACAACGCTCATGGGGCCCTCCCAGTCGCCATGTGGCGGGGCCACCCCGCACCCACATTGCCCTGGCGGGGCCGCAGGCCTTACCTGATGTGCTGTTTCAGGTGGCAAGATTTTTTATATGCGCGATGACAGTAAAAACACTTGTACGGTCTATCTGCTTCATTTACAAAATTATTATTAAAATAACTTTGAAAAAACTGGTTTCTCGGAATAGGCTGGATAAGACCTAAAACCAAAAGAAAATCAGGAATAAGTCACCAGCAATGCTACCAAAAAAGGCAGATGTCCAAAGGTGCCGCTTCACCCAGGGTGCACTGTGATGAGCCGAGGGCGACCCGACGCTGCAGCTAAGCGCTGCTTTGGGTTGGCAGCCATGAAAGAGAACCTTGGGAAATACTTAGAAGTTCGACAGGAAAGACTTTCAACATAAGAAATGCCTGCATCGCCGATGACTACCCTGCAAGCTGGAGCCCGTTTTTAATGAATTTCTACATTCACTTACAAGCGAGCGTCTGCGGACATGGAACTTACACACATATAACCAAAATTTAGCTTAACGGGACCTAAAGTCCCATCTTTGCTCAGTACGAAGACCACGCGAGGGACTGTGGCAGCTTCTGAAACACCAGTAAAAGTGTTTAAACAATCTTCCCACCACTCAAATGAACTGTACAAATGTATAACAGTAGGAATTAATTTTATGTGCTTTACTGACAAAATGTACATAAAAAAACAAGGAGGAGGGCCTCCCCGGTGGCGCAGCGTTTGAGCGCTGGGTTGCGAAGCTGCCCGCGGCCTCTGCGGCGCCGGTTCGATCCCCGGCTGCTCCCCGGCCACCGGAGGAGGGTCCCACATGGCGTGCAGACCTCTCCTGCCGCCCGCTGCTCCCCTCAGCAGTGTACTTCAGTCCTTCTGCCTGCTCTGCTCCCCACTCTGGCTCTGGTGAATTCTCTCACCCTCCCGTGCTTCTGACTGTACCCAGTGCATGTAAAAACAAAACAAACAAACAAATAAAATAAATAAATAAAACATGCCTCTACTAAAAAAAAAAAAACAAAAACAAGGAGGAAAACATGGGAAGATGAAATAATTTCAGCGCTTAGTTGAATTCTGTAAGAGCCAGGCCTGTAGAGAATGAGCACTGGGCGGCTCTCAGGAAGCACGGCCCTCAGGGTGGCCTCTGCCGCCCCGGGGACCGGACGACGAGTGAGACGAAGCACGGCCCCTGCACCTCCAGCCACAGGGGAGCACGGTCCCCGGGGCGGCCGCCGCTCGGAAGTCAGCCACCCAATGGGGTGGTGAGCTTCTCCCTTGAGCGCTGCAGTGCAGACACTCAGCTCATCTGCGGGGACCTGAGTGGCTTCAACACATCTCAGGTCGCACCCCACTGAGCCCCGTTACCGCGGCCACTAGCAGGAGCACTGGCAGCCCCAGTCCTGACAGCAGAGTCCAGCGCATCTTAGAAACCCCTCCCGCCCCTGCCTCTGCAGAAAACCCGCAGCCAGGAAGCCCGCAGCCAGCCCCCTGCTGCCGTCCCTCCCACCCCTGCCCCGGGGCTCTGGACCCACGCGCCGCAATACACAACTGTCCATCAGACACAACCTCACGGAGTTTCTTTTCTGCAACAGACGTCTCTGGTCAAGCTGCTGCCCTGGACTGCCAGCTCCTGTCTGCCCCTCCCCCACCCGGCCCAGGCCCCAGGCGCCCAACCGCTTGACCCCATCCCTTGCCAACCCACACGAGCAAGCTGCACGCCCACTGACCTCTCCTCAAGTCATTCAGAAAACCATGAAAGAAAAACTAAAGACCTTGCACAGTAAATCCCAAGGGGACCATCGAGTCCGGCGAACTCTGACAAAGGAGGCTGCTGTGTGCAGACCTGAGGGCCGCCCGCCTGGTCTGTAACAGTTTACACAGATGCCAGCATCTCGCCAGCCCCTCCTCCGCGGTTTCCAAGGCGCCGGCCGCGAGCTCCGCCCTCCAGGCCAGACACCCCCGCTGCTGCCCATCGCCACAACGTTGCCACAAAGCGCAGCCTGAGTCCGCAGAGGGGCAACAGTCTCAGGGAGGCGCCCGGCTGCGCAGCAGAGGCCCAGCTGGCTCTGGGTCTTACGCAACAGGGGGGGCGCGGGGGGATAGATCCCCACTTCCAGCCTTTTAGGAAGCAAAAAACAGCCTCATTTTAAAAATGCTATATTTTTCATCTATAATATTTTGCACCCAAAAGTTCTGTTAAAGAGTTAGACTAATTACAAGGTTACAATCTTGGAAGGCAAAAAACCTACAGTAAAAGGAACACAACTAAAAGCCCTTGGGTCCTGGCCGCAGGCAGCCCTTCCTACTAGACATCAGGGCTTTCCACGGTGTGCTGCTGTTGTCGAAGGAAACCACAATTCCTAAAGAAAGGCATGACTAAATTTTAGTTAATACACAGCAACAACAAACTACAAATGTCCTGGATCTTCCTAAAATTCCTTCGATAATAACAGAAGAAAAAGCTTTATCTGCCATGGTTTGGGGAAAATGCATCTCCGTCTTCATAGCGCCATGTAGTTAAAATCTGCTTTTTGACTGTTCACTTAGAAAAAGTAAAACTACTTAAGTTTAGAGGAATTGATCCTTTTTTTTAGATTTATTTATACATACAAGAGCTGGGGTACAGGCCAGATGTGCGGGAGGGTGAGAGGACTCACCAGAGACAGAGCGGGGAGCAGAGCAGGCGGATGTACTGAAATCCACTGCTGAGGGGAGCAGCGGGGACAGGAGAGGTCTGCCGCGCCCTGGGGTATCTCCCTGGCTGGCTGGGAATCGAACCGACGCTGCAGAGCCTGCAGACAGCTTCACAGCACCGCGCTCAACTGCCTGCGCCACCTGGAGGCCGGGAATTGTGTCTTGTAAAGTTATGTTATACCTAGTCTTTTCTGCTTTCTTTTCATTTTTGAGCTTTTAACCTATGCACTTATTTTCATTCTTTCATGCTTTGTTAAGATATACTCGTTAGGAGCTTTAGCTTTTCTGATGAACACTCTGGTCCATCTAATTTGTTTATACAATGTTCCCATTTGTGGTATATAATTGCAGTTTTGGGTCTTTTTTTCCCATATAATTAAATATTACATGGCTATTTTCTATTATGTTTTCATCTAACTAATAAAAGCAATCAAAGACTGTTCTGAGAATTTGAAATTTTCCTATACCTACAATGTGATCAACTTCCCTTCATGGACATTTGAAAGGGTGTGTGTGTTTTAAAGTGAAAGAATCTGTGAGGCTGTTAGTTAGCAAATCAGTGTTTTCATATATGCATGCTTCAATCCTCTTGTTTTACTGTGTGGTTCACAGTAAGACCTGCCTGACAACACCTCCCTACACAGGTGACTCTTCCCTTCTTCTTATTGCTTTGGTTCATGTACTTTGATGCTATGCTCCTAGAAACGTAAAGGTTCATAATTACTAGTGGACTATGATTTATATTAACTCAAAATGTCTCCCTTTATAGCACTTAAACTGAATTTACAGTATACTGCATTTTGCTTGACATTTAGACAGACTACATTTCTTGCATTTAAGACAATGGTGAAATACAAGCACTACATAAAAATGTAAATTCTAACAGAATTTAATGAAGTTTCTTAAATTTTATTTAAGCACTTATAAAAATGACTTTCCGGGCCTCCCCTGGTGGCGCAGCGGTTGAGCGCTGGGTTGCGAAGCTGCCCGCAGCCTCTGCAGAGCCGGTTCGATCCCCAGCCTCCAACGAGGGTCCCACATGGTGCGACAGACCAGTCCTGCTGTGCCCGCTGCTCCCCTCAGCAGTGTCCTTCGGTCCTTCTGCCTGTTCTGCTCCCCGCTCTGGCTCTGGTGGATTCTCTCACCCTCCCACGCTTCTGACTGTACCCAGTGCTTGTATAAATAAATCAATCAACCTTTAAAAAAAAAAAATGACTTTCCAGAAAATTCTCAAGCGGTATTTTCTCTCTAGTTAACATAACTGAAATTCGGCTTGATGATAACAGGACCCTCAACGTACAAAGAATTTAAAGGCCACCAGTTTCCTCAGCAGCCCACATAGCACCTATCAGCACCGTGGGGGGAGGCTGAGCTGAGGGGGACAAAGGGCTGTGAGCCCCGAAGTGAGGCCCGTCGCCTCTGACAGTTCCACGGAGGCAGAAATTTCCCTTCAGTAGGCTTGATACGCTCACACCTTCACTTACGCACCGTTTTTCTGTCTGACAGAGCTTTAGGGTTTTAGTTTTGACTGCAGAACTAACTGGCCCGCAAGAAAGTAAAAGACGCTTTACCAACGCAGTGCTGAGCCCGCTGAGCCGGGGGGGCCGGAGGCCGAGCAGCCCTCGGTGGCGCCGCAGGGAAGACGTCTTACCTACGTCGGTGATGAGAATCGGCTCCTGCAAGGGGATGTCGGGGACCGGGACGCTGGCCTTGCCCGCGCGGACCTTGGCGGGCTTGCGCTGGTGCCGCATCTTCCGCAGCTCCGTGTGTTTGAAGTGGGAAGCGATGTGAGTCTTCCTGTGGCCTGAGGTTCGGAACTTTTTGTCACAGTGGGGACAAGCGAAGGGTCTGACTCCTAATAAAAATGAAAGAAAATGCAGAATTATTTCCAGAAAAGACACCTTCCTATCAAACCTGGCATACAATGCTGCCATTTCAATATTTATTTGAATAGCCAAATACCTGCCCTCTCACGCTTCTCACCTCACAGATGCTATCAATCAGCTATCCCCTTGTGTGCACACAGAGTGTGGAAGAGCTGGTCAGGCACGTAATACGGCATTATAAGTTGAAAAGGATATTTACGATTTTTAGGAGACAGCCTTGAAGCGTAACATAAGGATAACCAAACCACCAGCAGTCCCTAAAAACAGCCCAGTGTGAGGCTTCAAGGGGTGCGCGTGTGCCCCCCCAACCTGTGCCCCCTACTCCCACCTCCGAGGGGCAGAGGTGAGCCTGCGGCCCGCATGGCAGGGTCACCGCCTCTGATGAGGGCAGTGGCACCCTCTGCACGAGGCTCCACCTCCACTTCCCTTCCTGGGGGACGTTTCCTTCACTTGCAATTTATTATAGGTTAATGAAAACATGGATTCCAAAGAAGGACGTCTAACAAAATGCACTAAATTAAACCACAGATCAGCTGTGGCCTAGGAACCCCGAGGCTAAGTCACTGCTCATGGGCAGGAGGTTTCCTTTGGAGGTGATAAAAGATATTCCCCACTTTCAGCAGTGGCATGAGCTGCATCACCCTGACCTATGCTGTGATGACGTGGACGCCAGCAGCTGAGAACCGCACCTGGGCCAAGCTGTCATCAACAAGGTGGAGCCTGGCCGGGGCTCCCGGCACTGACCATGAGGCATCCAAAAGGTGCAGGCGGCACAAGGTGGCGCCCGGCCTCAGGCCTCGGCACAAAGGGCCCCCCTCAGGGTAGCTGTGTACCCACCGCCGCCTGCCCAGCCCAGCCCTCCAGCCCTGGGCCTGCACAGATTGCAGGGATGGGCCCCCATACAAGGCCCCACTAGCCAGGACACCTTCTGGCCCCGTCCGCACGGCACCCGTGCTCCCTCCCAGCCAGTGCTCGTGAGTGACCCTCATGACATGGCTACCCGGCCCGTGAGGTCAGGCACCAGGGCTCCCTTTACCAGGGCAGATCTGCAGCCGACCTGCAGAAGGCCCTCAATGGATACGTGTGAAAAGACAGAAAATCAGTCTGAGTGGCCAGCTGCGGGCCCCAGACCAAGCTGCGGGTATCTGAGGGCCACGAAGGTGGGGATGCGACCCCCGACATCAGGGCCTGAGCAGCTGGACATCCCGGGCACGACAGGGAAGCCAGCCCTTGCGGTGTTGCGGAAAGGGGCCGGCCCGGCAGGGTGTACCTGCGTGCAGGCGTACCTGTGTGCAGGCAGGTATGCAGGTGTACCTGCGTGCAAGCGTACCTGTGTGCAGGCGGATGTGCACCTTGAGGCTGCCCGCAGTGGAGAAGCTCTTCATGCAGTGCTGGCACTTGAAGGCCTTGATGCCCGTGTGGGTCTTGATGTGGGCAGTCAGGGTGCTCTTCACGGCGAAGGCCCGGAAGCACTGTGGGCACTTGAAGGGCCGCTCGTGGGTGTGGATGCGGATGTGGCGCACTAGGTCGCTGGGCTTGCGGAACTCCTTGCTGCAGTAGGGACACACGTGCCACCGCACCCCGTTCTCCTCTCGGATTGAACCTGGGGCAACACCAAGACAAAGAATAGTCCAGCTTGGCCCGGAGACTTTCCAAGTGCAGACACCAAGGCCCCTGCACAGCTGTCCAGGGTCGGACCAGCCCGCAGCCACACTGATGACCACAGAAACGCATAGCAGCAGCAGACACGCAGCGGCGACGGGGAAGCAGTGGGGGCGGGCGGGCGGCACAGGCCCCAGGAGCCAGGCCGCCTGAGCATGGGGAGGGCCGAGGCAGGCTGGGGCAAGCGAGCCGGCTGCTGCGGGGCCAGTGGATGGTGCATGTGCGGGGAGCCGGCGCAGCCAGCGGTGACGCCCTGCAAGGGGCTGGACGAGCAGTGAGGTCAGAGAAATAGTGCACTGCCAAGGGCAGGGCAGGCCGAGATAAAGACGGTGGCCTTTGTGACTCTAAATGTTATCATCAGCTCTGAATCACGGTTAAACCATTCCCATCAGAAGAGGAATAAGAAGCAGAATCTATGGGACTATATAACAAGTAAAGTTACTTCTAAAAGTTTTTTTAAACACAGCAGAATCACTTTAAAAAATGTTTACTAGACTTACTTATCTGAAACTAAATTAAGTATGTATAGTAATTGAACAGGTAAAAATTCAAGTAAGGAATCCACTTGGGATCAAAAAAGTTTGACCATGTTAATGAAATTTATCAGAAAATTTTAACTATTTAACTATGTCTATATAGACACAGTTTTGTTAGAGAAAAAGAATATCTCTTATGCCCTCCTCACTGGTACCTGTAAATACAATGAATTCTCTGGGTCTTCCTGGTGGCACAGGGGTTAAAGTCCCAGGGCTGTCAAGCTACCGCCAGCCACTGCAGCACAAGTTCGATCCCTGGCCAGGGAACTGACCCACTGGGCGCAGCAGACCTCTCCTGTCTCCCCGCTGCTCCCCTCAGCAGTGTGTTTCAGTCAGTCTGCCTGTTCTGCTCCCCACTGTCTCTGGTGGATCCTCTCAACCCCTCTGCACCTCTGGCCTGCACCCCAGCTCTTGTATGCAAAAATAAATAAAATAAATCTTAAAAAAAAAAAACACACAAAGAATTCTCATTAAAGAGAATCCACAAGGAGAGAAAATGTATTTTCCAGAATGTAATTTTATTTGAAAAATTTATTAACATAAGAAAAGTGAAGTTACATATAAGAATAAAAAGTTACATATAAGAATAAAAAGAAAATAGTGAGCCAGTGGGGTCAGGTCAGAGAGGAACAGGCAGAAGTGGGGGGGGGGGTTGAGCAGGAAACAGCTTTGAAAGCAGGGAGGAGACACTGCTTAAAGCTAACGGGTAAAAACTATTCAGAGAAGCGCAATCATTCCCTGAAAGACTTGCAACCACAAGTAAACACAGGAAGGTGTAAAAGGTGAAAGAAGCCGAATATCTATTAGCTAAAAATCAAACCCAAAAATCTGATTCTTTTCCCAGAGGTAAAAAAAACTGAAAACGCATCTTCAGTTACGTAAGCTGAGGCAATGCAAAGCTGCCGCCAACTTCTAGTTACTCCTGGGAGTAGGCCCAGCGGAGGTCACAGGCCGGGTCCAGACGCTGCCCGAGCCGGGGTGCGCAAGCTCGCCCGGCCAGGCAACATCACGACGCGAAACTGGGCCCAGATCTCGGACTCTGCAACAGAGGGGCCAGGAGAACCCTTGCGTCCCCTCACGGCCCGGACGGCTCTTCTCTTCAAACACACTCACATCACCATCACGATGAAAGGCACTGGCTGACAGACTCCAACATCTAAATATTTTAAAAAATACCTAGATGCAGGAGGAAGTGAATAAACCCTAGCTGAATATAACATTTGGCTGCACAGGTAAATATTAAAAGCAACCCTGATTAAAGCCATGGAAAAGTTCATTATCACTGATATTAATTCACAGCTTTAGAGACACGAGCCAATGAAATTAGCTAATAAAAAATATATGCTATAGGGCCTCCCCGGTGGCGCAGCGGTTGAGCGCTGGGTTGCGAAGCTGCCCGCAGCCTCTGCGGCGCCAGTTCGATCCCCGGCTGCTCCCTGGCCACCGGGGGAGGTCCACATGGCGCGCAGACCTCTCCTGCTGCTCCCTCAGCGGTGTACTTCGGTCCTTCTGCCTGCTCTGCTCCCCGCTCTGGTGAATTCTCTCGCCTTCCCGCGCTTCTGACTGTGCCCAGTGCTTGTATGTATAAACAAACAAACAAATAAATAAATAATAAATCTTTAAAAAAAAAAAAAAAAAAAAAAAAAAAAAAATATGCTATAAACTACAAGGAAAAAGGTAAAATCACTATTTTCAAATGATATCACTCATACGGCTGAAATAAAACTAAAATTCAGAAAAGAGGTTCACATTTCAATACATGAAATCAACACCCTTCATGTCCACAAATCACCTTGAAGAAAGTCTTAAAACACCAAAATGTGACAGAGAAACAGCCTCCCCAAGGGCAGCACACCCATTCTTGGACACAAAGCCCAAGTCAGACACCGGCTCCTCCCGGTGAAGCCTCTTCTACACAAACACTGGGGCGGGTTCTTCAGAACCAGCGTCTTCGGAGCTTCAGCGGACAATGTCGAAGCAGCGTGTGTATAAAACGTTCCCAAGAAATAAGGTGTGACAACTCCATTTCCAAGAAGCGCCAGGCGAGAGGACGGGCCTCCTGCCTGTCAGGGCTGGCCGCCGCGGAGGGCGCGGCCGGGGGGACAGCCGGCCCGCGTGGTGACAGAGACAGTGACTGTGGCAGGGACGCGGCCGGTTCCCACGGCGGGTGCCCAGGTAGGAACAGAAGAATAAAACCGGGTCCATAAACTCCTGTGGATTTAGTTTATAATTTGAGAGGCTAAGACGGCTACTTCCCACAGTGCCAGCGTGAAGGCACGTGCCACACCGCTGCGGACATCACCGGCCAGCACACGCTTGGCCACACCCGCGGGGCGCTCTCTCCGCAGTGGCTATGTGACCGCACAACACGTCTCCCTTCAACTCAACTTAGAAAGGCATAACGCGCGCCCCATGAGCTCACGCGACGCGGTGGTCCTCAAACTCTCAGGGGGTGGGGGAGCACAGCTCTTTGGGGGGAGCTGAGCGCGAGCAGGGGGAGCCGGGGTGGATGGAACCCCAAGGCGGCAACAGCGTCCAGCGCACCGCCTGGGGCCGCCAGGGCGGGCGAGTACCGGATCTCGAAAGCAGGCGCAAAGGTCTGCTCCTCTGTCATCAAGCGCAGTGGGGACCTGGACGGGAAACCCAGGAAGGCCGAGATGGGTCCCCACGCCGGTGTCAGGAGCCAGTGCGCTCCCGAGGGGCCGCGGCGCCCGGCACACGCGGGCACGCGGGGAGATCGGTCGAGAAAGCAAACAGAGCTCAATGTTAACACGTGGGGGATCTGGACGAGCCCCGCGCTGCGAATGCTTTGTGTTATTTCTGCAACATTCTGCTAAGCCTCAAATTATTTTAAAACCAATCCTTAAAACGGCCTTCACAGGTCCACACCGTGGCACCCGACACCGCCGGCGGGCACGGCTCCATCTGCGCGCGAACGACAGCCTCGCGGCGCCCCATCTGCCCGTGGCCGCGGCAGCCGCGGCTCTTGCCAGTGAAGAAACGTGACCAGCCTGAGTGTCCCCTGTCGGCCAGGCGGAGCGCCACGCTGGCATATCACAGGATCGGGTGTCAAGAGGGAGGAGGAGTCCAGGAGCTCCGCACGGCCCCGCTGCAGGGCAGTGGCTGCATGTCCAGAGCTTCCGCAAGACAGAGCCGGGACAGCAGCGGCTGCCCGGTGGGCATGGGGTGCGATGAGCAGGGGTGTCCCCGGGACTGCGGGGTGCATTCGAGGTGTGTGGCACCAGCAAGGGTTGCTATTGAAAAGGCAACTTTAAAGCCCACGCGCTCACCGTGCAGTCAGCGTGTAGCCGCCGCTGCACACTGTGGCCTCCTCGCTCGTCCTCCCCGCCAACCCCACCAGCTCCTGGCCCAGTGTCCATGCCAGTTGGTGCAGGTGCCCAGGGAGCCTGTGCCCCTTGGGGCTGAGGGCAGGCCACTCAGGAAGGCTCCTGGGTGGAGGTGTGGGCCAGAGGCAGGGCAGGCTGCAGGTGGCCACGGCGGGAAGGGCCGTCTCCGGAGGGCACTCAGAGACTGCGTGGGCAAGCCACCGAGCGGAGACCCAGGGCAGAGCTGGGTGAAGTGCGCAGACCAGGCAGGAGAAGCCAGAGCCAGGGGTGAGGTCGCAGAGACGCCTCAGTAGGGCCAGCAGGGTTGTGGCTCCAGAGGCACATGAGGCTGCGGGCCCTTCTGGGTGCGGGAAGGCCCCTGAGGACACCAGCTATGCCCTCTGCACTCCTTAGAAGTCAGTTTCCAAAGGAGAAGGGGAGCAGGGGATGACTCAGTTGAGCCCGAGGCCCCGGGGATGGGAGCTGGAAGGCACGGCGAGGGCAGGGCAGAGAGGGCAGGAAGTGCTCATGACTGTGAAGAGCAGGGCGGGCCGCTAGCCTTCCACAGTTGTCCGTGCTGGGGACAAACGCATGGACCGGTCCTGGCAGGTTCTAGCAGATACTGGCGCTCTCCACCGGGGGCCCTGGGAGCAGCAGGACGAGGCAGCGGAGTCAGCAGGGAGCACGTGAGGAGGCTCTGCTGGCAGCACAAAGTGAGATGCTCACGATTTCTTAGTGCCGGCACTGCCAGGGGAAGGCCGTGGGCCCCTCTAGCACAGCGTGGCTGCCCCGCTGCGGGGGCAGGTGAGCCCACAGCCCCAGCACTGCTGAAGCGCACGCCCGCCCCTCTCCTCTGGACCGCTGCTGCCATGCTGGCCTCGCCCCCAGGAGGTGGCCCGCTGGGGAGGGCACCTGCCAAGGACCGGCAATAGGACCTGCCAAGGACCGGCAATAAGACCGCAGCGGGTGGCCAGGGTGATGCCCAGGGAGGCTCCTGGGGGCCTGGCATCCACCCGTCTGTTGGGGACATGAGTGGGTATTCAGAAGGGCAGGCCAGCCATGGCCTGCAGGCTGCCCCAGCCACAAACACCTTCTTGCCTCTGGGAGCCAAACCACCCAGGAGATAAGGTGCTTGGACTCCGCAGCACGGAGAGGGGCCCCGGGGCGGGAGAGGAGACGGGGCGCACAGTGCCGGTCCTGAGGAGCAAGCGCCCGGCCGCAGGCTGGCCAGGGGAACGCGGAGCCCAGACAGAGATGCTGTGCGTGCACGCCAGGACACTCTTGGTTCCCGAGACTCGGGGAGGCCAGATAGCTCCTCTCTGGGAACATGTCTGTAGAGACACTTTTGCCCAAAATTCAGGAATCTATTGCATTCAGGAAAGACTGAGTAATGTCTGCACAGGCCAAGAGCCCGCGGGGTACGTGAGGAGTCTGGCTGGGCTGGGGTGTCCCCCCATCCCCTGCCCCGCGGCGGAGGCCGCCTGGGAGTGGAGGAGAGGAGGTGCCTGGCCCTGCCTGCCAGAGAAGCTGCCCTGGGCTGGCCCAGAGCGCTGAAGCCTGCGAGTGCGAGGGGCGGCGCGGAGGCGTTTCCTGCTCAGACGCCGCGAGGGCCAGGGGCAGCTCGTGGGCCCCAGCAGAGCGGGCGGCGGGTGCGTGGGGAGGCGCAGGCAGCCGGGTACGGGCAGGGTCGAGGCGAGGAGGCCCTGGCAGCAGGTGCGGCTGGAGGATGCGGGGCGGGTGGGCCTGACAGAGACCACGGGCCCCGCCGGAAGGCCGAGGGACAGGCTCCGCGGGGACAGGCAGCCGAGCAGACAGCGAGCGCGACAGCCGGTGCTTGTTTTCAATTTTAAATATCAAACAAATATCAAATATCAGGCAGACACCGTCAAAGGCTTCCACAAACACACCACCCCACCCTCGGAAGAGAGAGGGGCGCACGGCACTCAGAGACAAGCACACGCCCGCAGCGCTCCAGTTAGAACGAGGTCAAATTACCAGGGAGAAATGGAGATTTCTTCTTTAAAATTTTCTTCTCTTTCTTGTCCAGCTTCCCGGGGCTTTCCTGTTCTTTCTCTTGCTCTGCCTCCGCAGCGTCGGGGGGCTCACCGGGAGCGGGGGCCCCGTCGCCGGGCTGCACCTGCGGGGCGGTGGCCTTGGCATGGCTGGAGTCACTCGGGGGCGCTGCAACTGGAATTGAAGACAGCCCACTGTTTTCTAAGGCTTGCTGAGACAGAACAAAACTAAGAGGTTAGGAGACACGACGCCCAGCTGTGCCTACCAAAATCTACCCCACAGGTGTAAAAGCGTCACCTACAGGACGCTCCCCCACTGGCCAGACACCAGACCCTGCCCTGACAAGTCACCTTGATAAGCAAGACTTCTTTTTCTCTTTTTTGAGACTAAAACACCCCTTTTGATACCTGAACCCCTTACCTCCACCCTAATTAACAGCATGGCATTCACACATCTAAATTATCAGGAAATTAAGTGAATCTGACTTTCAGAAACTTTACTTCACACAACTCTGCTTGTCTCTAAACAAACAAGAGTCACTGTGTCGGGCAACGCCGGGTTCACCCTGCAACAGGAGCTTTCGTGACAACCTGGGCGTTTTTACCCGGCGGCCCAGGGGCCACCACAGATGATCAAGACGGGCGGAGGAGGTGAGGGTCGTCTCTAGGCACGCAGCCTGCCTGCCCTCCCTGCCCCCACCACGTGCACTGCCCGCTGAGAACAAGCGAGAAGCGAGGCAGCAGGGACAGTCTCTGAGTCACAACCCCAAGGCCAAGGTCGTCTTGCTGGCCCTCAGGCCTGGTGAACAGGACAGATACCAGAAGGTGCTGCCGGAAGAGCCTGTTCTTTTAAGTACATCCACTTACGGGTAACAATGACGGTTTCAATTTATTTTTAATTGGTAGATTAAAAACACATTTAGATTCCTGCACTAAGTTTATTATGTTTCACGACAGTCTTTTCAGCACAGATGCAACTTCACCCTGACAAGCCCCGCACGGCTACTATTTAGCATGACCCCAGGCCAGAGGGAGCAAAATGCCCACGCCCGTGGTGAGCTCACCTGCAGGATGTCCGGGCTGACGCCCACAGTGATGCTCAGGTGCTGCCCTGGCGGCACGGGGGGGCTGGGCTCCACCGGGCCCGGCTCCGACAGCTCCAGGAGCTGCTGGATGACGTCGGTCACCGCCTGCGAGTTCTGCTGGCTGGACGCGGACGTGACCTGCACTTCCGTCTGCTGGAGGGGCAAGGTCTGGAAGAGCGTGGCCTGCAACGCAGCGACATCCCCATAAAAATATAAACAATCACATTCATCTGCACGTCCGTTGTTTTAAAAAAGAAACAGGCACATCTTCCTTTTGAGCATTAACATCTAACAATCTGCCAAACCTAAATTTTAAATAAAATCCCTCAGAGACTTTAGTGACAGGCACAGCACTGGCTCTTAGAACTCATGGAATCTGTCTACATGCCTTCAGGGCTTACGCGGTAAGAGACAGTGGATTCAGGGTGGCCAGAGACATGGACGGCCAACCTCCTGTTGGCCGGGAAAGCCGGGGGAAAGCAGTCACAAAATAAAGAAAAGGAGAAAGAAACCACTGTGGTCAAAAAGTTAAGCAAACTTCTAAAACAGGGGAGTGGAGGATCCCGTGGCCTCTCGGGCCTCTGGGAGGAGGGGAGGCCGGTGGCGGGGCAGAGGCCTGAGCTCGCCCAGCCCGGGAGCGCACGGCAGCAGGAGCCCACGGCGGCCGGGCGGCCTCCTCACCGCCACCGGGTGTCCCGGTCTTGACCAGCTCAGGCCGGTTTCTGCAATCACGCTCCCGGGCAGAACACAGAACCCACCGGAAAGAATAAAAATACGTATGATTTGAATCACACAAATCCCAAAAAGTGGACTGGAAAACGTAACTGCTGCCCCCAAATCCGAAGGTGGGGGTTATCACTGTGGCATCAGAGGTGGAGGCATGTTCCTAGAGAAGGCTGACTCTTGAATTATTCCCTGAAGCTAAAGAAATTCCAGTAACAGTCTTCAGTAATGCTGACTTGTGAACAACAATTCCATAAATGAATGGCTACATCTTTGTCATCTGCTGGTTCGGATGACAGCCCGTAAGTCCGGGTCACTGGATACTATTCCAAAGGGTACGAGGATTTTCTTTCACTAATTTAAGGAAAAAAAGTACATTCCCTCCCTTCCATTTGGAAACCCCCATAGTACCTCCATGGTGCTAAATAATACTTGGCTCTAAGCCCACAGTCACGGTGGGTGTGCTGGGGAGGAGCCGGCGCTCACCGTCAGCACGTGCGCGGTCTCCGCGGGGCCCGTTGGGTTCTGGGGGCCCCCCATGTGCATCTTGCTGATGTGGGTGTTCAAGCTGCCCAAACTTTTAAATACACAGCTACATTCTGTGCAATTGTAGGTAGGTCCATTCTTGACCTTAAAGCATAAAAAAAAAAGAAAAATGTGATGTTTTACAATTATTAGATAAAAATATTCAAATCATGGCAAACTAGAATTTGCCATTCTATAAAAAGTGACAGAAATAATCTCTTTAACGTTATTTCTTTCTTCTAAATTAGCTATAGAATCAACAACCCAGCCCTTTAGTCAACATTGTGCGTATGAGGTTACTGAAATTTCAGTCTTTTCTGTAAATTAGAGCTGGTTTGGGAGTAAAAGAGCAGTTCTCAGCTACTCTGACTCAGTGACAACAAAACGACACCTGTCCCGAGTGTCTGCCAGGGCCGAGCGCTCGCAGGGAGACAGACACGCCCAGCCGAGGCTCTGCAGGCCAAGGCACACACAGGGAGGAGGTCGCACGGTGACGGTCTCACCACCAATGGCCCAGCGGCGGCTCTTCAACCACGACAAAGCTGACAGTGGCCCAGAGTGTGGCAGCGGGGAGGCACAGGGGTGCAGGGAGCCGTCTGCACCTCGAGCCCGGCCAGTCCTTGCTGCAGCCACGGGGCTGGCCTGGGAATTGACAGGCCGCTCTGAGCTTGGGGGTGATGTCTGTTCTACTTCAAGTACCTGGTTAAGAACCCAACTTAGGCTCCAGGGTCACGACAGGATGAACACATACAAACTCATCTCTGGAAGCCGTGCCTGGGCCACCTGTCTGCACCTCCACCCGGGCCAGCTGCCCTCCCTGAGAAACCTGGACATTCAGGGGCACGAGGAGCATCTCATAAGGGCTGTTCTGAGGTCTAGGGGGGTTTGGGGGTGCAAGCAAACTGCAAAGTACTCACTTTTCCAGAAGCAGCCCCACAGAATGACAGCCGGCCAGGCTTAGGCCCCAGGTCAATACCCCCTCCCCCCTCCAGCACACTCCTGGGTCTTTCTAAGGTCTTTGGGTCTTAGATAATGAAACTTAGTTTTTAAAGGTAACTCATGGAATTCTGAGTCTGTTATATAGGGTTTTTTCATTTCAGGGCAGCTCAAAACCTTACTCCAAGAAAAAAAAATAATAAGATACTTATTTACTTTTAAGAATATGGTAGTTTTCATTCTGCAAAGCAGACTGTGCTGCTTGAACACTTCTTTATATTCTATCGGTCAGCCAAAAAGGAAGACACCACTTCACGTCAATTAATAGAGCAGAGATTAACCTGCTTCACAGACACATACTTTCGGGGACTTTACTAAGGAGTCGGGACCATCAAAACTGTATCGGTTTTGCTGACATAGAGCCTGGAGGAAAACAAACAGGCCGGGAAGCTGCCCAGTGAGCCATGGGTGGGGTGAGGGTCTAGGGAGCCGCAGCAGCAAGAGCACTTCTCTCCTTCGGTTTTATTCCTGTCTTTCCAGTTGTACACTCGACGGTCTCAAGTCCACCGAAGGGAGGAAGGGCCCTGGCTGTCAGGCTGGGGATGATTTTCAGCCTCTGCGCGTGACCGCTGAGGAGCCAGGAAGCGGGAGCCCGTGGTCCCCCCAGGAGTCAGCCACACAGGCCTGGCGTGCGGAGCCAGGCTGCTCTGCGTGAACGCTTAATCCGCGTCCCCCAGGAGGGAAGAGCTTCTCAGCCCCTCAGCCTCCAGGTCTCCAGAGCAAGACCACACCCCTGGCACGCACCCCCCAGCCAGGTTACCTCGGAGTGGACTCTCTGCACGTGTGACTGGAGATTCCCCTTCTGAGAAAAGGCAGCAGGACAAAAGGCACAGGCGTGGGGCTTTTCACCTGTGTGCTTGATCATGTGGGTCTGCAGCGCCCCCTTCTGGTTAAAGGCTTTCCCGCACTCGCTGCACTTGAAAGGCCTTTCCCCTGGAGAGGGAGGCGGAGGGTCAAAACCAGCCCGGCTCTGGGCTAAGAGCAACACTCCATCCCTGCCACCCACGACCCCGCCCTCCCTCCAGCCAGAGCACCTCCCAGGCAGGCGGCGCCTGCTCAGCCCTGGACACCACAGCCTTGTGTCCCTGCAGACTCCCCCGCCCCGCCCCGGCCACGCCCACACGCCCCCCCCCCCCCGAGACCCCAAGGGTTCCACCTTCAGAATAACCAGGGTGCCAACCCCGCCCCCAACCACTGGCCAGAGGCTCCCTGAAACCGCCTCCTAAGGCGCTGCCCGCTCCCACTCCCGCCCCAGGCTGCTCTCAGCACAACTGACCACGGCCCCACAGGCCCAGCCCCTGCGGCAGCAGGCAGACTGGCGGAGAGCCCTGTCCCAGCGGCCCGAGGGCGCCAGAGCCCGGGCTCTCTCCGCAGGCGGCCCACCCACCCGGCTTCCCACTGACCTGCCCAGACACGCCGCACTCCCCGAGCGGATGCTTCCAGCCCCACTCACTGGCCACATGTCTTCAGGCCTTTGCTCAAAATCAGGTCCTCAGCGGTCCCTTTCTAGTCACTTCTATTCAACACAAACACCTCTCTCCCTTCACTCTGGGGTGCTCCCACCCCCTCTGCTCCACTCTTGTCCACGCACCTTCACATTACTCATTATCCACCTTTCCTCATAAGAACTTCAAGTCCAAAAAAGCAAGTCTGTCTGTCTAGTGCGCTTGCACCCTCAGTGCCAGCAAATGGCGCGGCGGGGACAAGGCCAGCCCGACCCCAGGCACAGGGCGCCCCACCCCCGAGCACTCGCAGCAGGAGCAGCGCCACTGCACAGGACGGCAAAGAAACAGTGTCATCACTTGTACGTGACGAACAAGACGTGACCGACGAGGCTTCAACAAATGAGCAGATGCCTGGGGGAGGAGGCCGAGACAGGCGGCGAGCGAGACCCGCGGCCACATCTAGGGAGCCGCCCCACTTGGCCCTGCCCTGCCCAGACACCCGGGGTCAGGCCCGCAGGGTGTGGTAACCACCATCCCAGGCGGATGAGGCCTGGCCCTTCCCGGACCGACCGGAGGGAGCAGAGCCCTCGAGCCACCTTCCCAGGGAGCTGAGTGCCCGCCCACAGCCCCCGCCCTCAACCCGCAGCCCCCCCACCCCCGCCCGCCTGGCTGACCCCCCACCGTCCCTGTCGCCCCGCACCGCAGCCCGTCCCAGCAGCCATCACACGCGTCCAGCGAGCACTGGCGCGAGGACGGGGCCCGCCGCGGGAAGAGGCGCCCGTGCGGCCGGGGCTCTGCGCATGCGGAGGACAGGCCCGAGCCCAGGCAGCGCGTCACGGCTGGCGGCCCGCGGGCGGCGTAGATGCTGACTCGACTCCCTGACGGTTCCTGCTCCGACCTCACACTTCAACACACGGCGTTTCCTAAACTCATTCTTCACCGACTGAAGCTGCGAGGAAGACAGAGCGTGCCGTCCCGCGAGGGAATGGGCGGCCACAGCTCCACTGACGCTGCTTTCGTCTCCCTGCTCTGAGGAGCAACCATACCCTGGCCCTCTGGAAACGCCGACGTAACTAACACACAACTGGACCTCCAGGGGCCGACCAGCCCCAGCTCCTGCCGGGGAGGGCCCCGGGACGACGGGAGGCCCACGGCGGTGACGCGGCGGCCCAGGCCCACCCGCGCCCGGAGACGGCGGCGTGCCCCCACCGCCCGGCGGCCGACAGCTCTGCAGGAGACGTGGAGGGCCTTGGGCCACGAGTGCTGTGCACGGCGCCAAACCCTCACACAGAGCCACGAAGGAGACGGGGCGCGGCTCAGAGAAATGAAGCCTTTCTAACTCTTGCTGTTTAATAGCCCAGCTTGCGCCAACAAGACCGCAGAGACTGTGGAGGCCGGAGCTCTGTGGGCGGAGGCGCCCGGGGGCCACCCCAGCCCCGCAGAGAGCAGACGCTACTTGTGGCCGCAGCCGCCCCACGCACTCCCACTTGTGGGTCACGGTGCCTTCACAACAGCAGCGACAGCCACGTCCCCGCGTGCGGGAACAGCACCACACGGCAGACGGCACCAGAGTGGAGGTGACCTCCGGGGCTTGGCCCAGGGACTCTGCCCAGGCAGCCACCCACCCCGCGCACCTGTGTGGATCCGCACGTGCCGCGTCAGCTGGCTGGGCTTCTGGAACGTCTTTCCGCAGTGCGGGCAGGAGTAGGTGAAGCTGCTCCTGTCGATGTTCCGGTTGTACGACCTCGTGCTCGACACCCTGGAAAGACACGGGACGCTCTGAGCCTCTGCTCCCGCCGCAGCCCCACGGCCCACACCCGTGGGGACGAGAGGTGCGCAATCCGCGCTTGGCGCTAACTTTGAGCTTCCAGCATCAAGTCCATCTCCCCACATCAAATGAAAACTGAAAGTTTCTTGAGCTCAGGAAGCTGCAGCATGCTGGACCATTGGCAGGCCTTGCCCTGTGCTCCGGGCAGCCGCACCCTCCCGCCTGCTGGCAACACGGAGCTCCGCAGTGTGGGGTCGCCCACCACACTCAAGGAGCAGCTCAGATCTGACCCGCCCCAACAACGCTTGTCCCCCAGGCTGCCCATCGCACAGGGAGGGCGCTCCTGCCTCACGGACCCCTCCCTCTCCCTCGGCCCCAGGCAGCGGGCCACATGCCATCTGGCCTCTCCGGCCAGCACCAGAGCTTCAGAGCAGAGGGGTGGCCTGACGCGCAGCAGTGAGAGAGGCACTCGGGCTGCCCCCCCAGACTCCCAGCTCGCGTGGGGCCGCCACTCCCAGGGTGGTCCTGGTCCTGTCTGCTGCAGACTCCGCACACCGCTCCCACCCCCCCAGGGGGCTCCCGGCCTCCCACCCTTCTCAGAGGCAGAGCTCACTGCTGCTGGCACGGGGGTGTGCTGGCCCAGCCCGTGGAAAGGAAGCACCAGCACAGGCGGGGGAGCAGGAAGTCGCAAGTCCCAAGTGAACCAGGAGGACAGGCAGCCTCCCGAGGCGTGACGCTGGATGTGTGTCCAGACGTGGGCACAGCTGCCGGGACGCTCACCGGGCTGCTCAGGCTAAACCCGATGCTTGATTCAGGGGGTCCGCAGCCGGGGCGGGGCGGGGCACTGCCACCAGGTCTCCTGTCTGTAAATCGGGGACCTGAAGGGTCCGGCCAGGTGGCCGTGTGCAGCGACTACCTGAGGATTTCGTTTTTTGTGACGATCTCCAGACACGCCATGCAGAGTGTGAACAGGCCGACGCAGCCCAGAGGCACTGAACCCACCCCCTGAGCCTGCCCAGTGTGTCCCTCACCACCCGGCCAGCAGCGCTATGACACCGGCTGAGAGTCCGCCCATGCAGCCCGAGCCCATTCCCAATCTTCAAACCGCCCTTCCCACTGCAGCAGTCAGCATCACATGAACACGCATGGCCGCGCCAGGCTCCGCGGCTCATGAGCCACAGCGCAGCAGGCCCCGCCCCAGCTGTGCAGCCCCACAGCTGCCAGGGCTGTACCTGATCTTGTAGTGTGTCCTCATGTGCTCCTTCAGCTGCGCCGACGTCTCAAACTCCTTCCTGCAGGCCCTGCAGGCGTGGGCGCGGGAGGCGGCCAGCTCCTGGCGGTGCTCCTCCATGTGGACGGCCAGCTGGCTCTGCAGCGCGAACTCATCCCCACACTCAGGGCAGATGAGGTTCTGCAAGGAGAGGCCCGTAAGCAGGAGCCCCCCACGGCGCTCACGCCCACACCGTGCCCCCCGCACGCCCGCGACTCTGACCTCTCAGACAATCCTCCTGTCCTGACGTGAATATATAAACAGCACTTCACTGGGAGAAAAAACAACAACACAGGGGCAGGGCGAGAGGAGACACACCCTGGGGCCGGCCCTTCTCCCGTGGCCTGGGGTGGGCACGCTGGGGTGCGGGACAGCTCTGACGTCAGCCCCAGGAGGCCGGGAGTCGCCCTCGTCAACGAAGGCCACGGTTGACCGGCGACCCGACGGGGATGGCTGCAGAGCTGGAGGGATGCCCCCGCGCCCCTTCCCACTCGGCTCACGGCAGCGCCGGCACAGGCCAGGGCAAGCACAGCCCAGACGGCAGGGCGGGCAGGCGCGCGAGTGGAAAGAGCACACGGGGCTTCCGAGGCGGATGACGACCCCAAACAAGAGTGCGAAATAGTTTCACAACTTCATGCACAAATTATAACCCACGCGTGTAAAACACTCTGACTCGCGAGCCGCTCACAGACGTGTGGAGAGCCCATCGGAGGCGGCGGCGCGCTGGCACTGCTCGGCGGCCGGTGCGCGAGGAGCCGGGGGTGAAGGGAATATTCTGAGCAATCCAGTAAAGACACAACCTGCCCAACTTTAAGTTGGCGTCACTTCGTAATAATTTAAAGAAGGAACGGTCAGACCGTTAGTGTTTTGCTGACAACAAGGACGGGTCTTTCGAGGAAACTGGCAAAAAATACCCGACAAAATTTTCTCCATTGAAAGAAAAAGGTCTCTCCACTTGTTTTCACCACAAGATGCCCCCGTCCCACTGACAGCGGCAACAGGTGCTCGACTTGTGAGCAGGAAGCACGTGTGACCCCTCCAGCCCTCCCGTGGCCCCGGCACAGCTCTGGCTAGACCAGCCTCGGTGCACTCGCTTTTACCTGGTGATCTCAGAAATGGCCACATTTTTGAGTGAAAACTCGGCCTTATGGACAATTTGCTCCCAGGGTGAAAGCAGGATCCAGCAAGCCCGGGCCGGGCCAGGCGGCCAAGCGCGATCGAGTGTCGGGCCGCAGCCTGCACCCGCTGGCCGAGAGGAGCCCGGGAGAAGGCACACCCGGCGGGAGGGCGGCTCCCCGCACAGTCAGAGCGAGCACCACGCTGGGGCCAGAGGCTCGACGCCAGCCTTCACACAGCGGCCACCATGGCAGGACATGCGTGGCACTCAAGCCTCCACCTTGCCGAAGCCAGGGGGTGGCCTCAGAGTGCCTGCCAGCACCTGCCCTTCCCCCAGTCCCCAGCCCCCAGCCCCGGGGTCTTTCTCTGCGCCCCTCTGACAGTCCCCCTCACTTGTGCCCCCACACCCTTCTCCTGCCCGGGGCCTCAGCCGCCACGCCCCCTTGCCCACAGGAATGCCTGGAGTCTCGGGGCAGCAAGGCCAAAGCCCACCAGCCATGGGCGCTGCAGAGACACCACCAGCACAGGGAGCTGGGGAGGGGGTGCTGCCTCCTCTCCGACGCCCCAATACCCTGGGGGGAAGGGCCGCGAAGCAGTGGTCACGTTCCCAGTCCGTGTCTGGTGGTTTCGACAGCTGTGGAGAGCGGGGGCAACACAGAGCTGAGGCCATCGGCCCTGACAGCGCTCAGTGCCCGAGGACGCTGGAGAATGGAGCACCTGCACGAACGACAGTGCCTGAGCAGCCCCGAGAGCACCTAAGAAAACGCCCTATTGGTATCAAATGCATCGAAGACTTCATGTACGGCACTATGCAGCCACTGGAGAGTGACATTCACTTCTCTGACCGTCCTGTGACTGGTTTCAGCTGAACCCCGGGGGCAACCTGCTTCCCATAGCCAGAGTGTAGGGGGCGCCTCTGCCCGGGTTCACCCATCGCCCTCGACCTCCCCATGGGTCAGGGCACCTCCACCAGGCCTCAGCTCTGCTCCTGCTTTGCAGACAGGCGCAGAGGCCTGACAGTCCCGGACAAAACGCTGAGTACTGAGCCCTCTGACAAACAGTGCTTTCAGCAACTGCCCCTGCTGAGCTCTGCCCTGTGCTGAGAGCCGTGAGGGCCGGTCCCGTCCGGAGAGCCGTCACCAGCGTGCGCTCAGGCTGAATGCTTCCTCTGCGCCCGCTGCTTCGCGTCGGCTGCTTCCCGCCTCCCGCTCCCTGCTGCTCCTTCTTGCCCTCCTGGGTGACTTTTCAGAACTTTTACGAACGGACACCGGCTGATGTGCAGTGTGTGCGCACGGTGCTCTGGGAGGCTGCGCTGGGCGACGCAACACGTTACGTAAGGAGGCCACACCCCCGGCAGAGAGGGAAGAGCAGGGACCAGACGTGACAGCCCTGACGACTACATTTCCCACGCACACGGGGCAGGAGGTGGTCACGTCCGCCTCAGCCATCAAGTATGACTCAGGGAGATGAGCCGTCATCACTTCGACTACATTAGCCAGGGCTCCCGAGACAGACCAGGAGGGCGTGCGTGTGAAGGATTAACTGGCTCACCGGTGGGGCGGCGGACCGCGCCGACTGTCCCAGCACATGAGCGGCGGCTGCAGCGGGCACCGAGGGTAAAGGACACGGCGTCGAGGAGGAACTCTGCTTTACTCCAATCCACCAACTGCAACACTAGCCTCATCCCAAACCGCCCAGGAGGCTAGAAGAAGTGTGATGTCGCCGGCCGCCGCCAGGCGCTCCTGCCTGGTGACCCCGCCGCCTTCCCCACAGGCTACCACCTGCTTGCACTCCTCACCTGGAGGCGCCCCCACGATTCCCAGTGGCGGCGCCCATCTCGCACAAGGAGAAGGGTGGCCCTCGGAACTGGCCCCCGCGGGCATCATCGTGTCTTCTGCCCCCGAGCGCTTGGTTGTGCTGCGTCTTGGCAGAGGCTCTGGACTCCCTGCTGGGCCCGCTTGGCTTCACGAGCGCACCAGGCTCCCGTCCCAGGAAACTTGAGTGGTTTCCAGCCCACACCCCTCTCCCCATAGCACCGGGTCCAGGCACAGGCGCCTGCTGCGTCCCGGAGCTCCCGGAGCTTCCGCCGACGGGCTCCCGGATCTCTGTCTTTCCAGCCATGGGAGTCCTCGGTCCACGCCAACATTCTGCACGCTGGGTTTTCATTTCCACAATCCCCCTTTGCTGTCGTCGTCACGTCCTGCCCTTCCCATGGTCCCCACAGCTCAGGCAGCACTTTGTGCCGGCGGCTGCACGGCCTCCCGGCACCCAGCTCCTGGCCGCGCAGCGACGGCGTCCACGGGGTCCTCACCGGGCCTCGCGCTGTCCTGGCTCCAGCCCTACGAACGTCTCTCTGTGTTCAGAACCCTGGGGCGCCCTCAGTGCGAGCCGTCCGCTCCCCCATGAGCCGGGGCCTTGCCCTTCAGCCGTCCTCGTCCTCGGGCCCCTCCAATCAGAGGGCTCTCGCGTGTTTCCCACCCAGCCTGGAGCCGCCGTCAGCAGGCCGGCCCCCCGCCCCTGCTGCCCGCCTGCCGCCTGCGTCCTCAGTTGGGCTCCGGGCGGCCCACACGGCCTTCAAGAGCAGACACTCGGGGGCTGGAAGAATGACTTTAGGCTTGGAAAATACCCCCAAGTGAGTCACAAGAAGCAGAATCTGCAAATAAAAAGAAGGTAACAGAAAATCTGAGCATGGGACATTTAACAAACTTGCCAGGAACACCAGCATCAGGGCCTGAGCAAGCTGCTGCGGCGGGCGTGGGCTGGAGCAGGCGCCGCGGCACCCGGGGAGGCCAGAGCGGGGCGCAGACCCACACTGACATCCTGCAGGACTCTGCTCCGCACACGATGACACGGGAGTCGGACGTCTTCAAGCGACCAACAGGGCCGGGGCCCAGACACGAGATGGCAAGAAGAGCCCCCCATCTGCTGCCGGCTGGAGCGGAGACAACAGAACCCCCTGAGCTCGCCGGAGCACGCCGTCTGGGACCTGCACGTCCTCCGCCCGGCAGGCCCACCTCTAGGGACTTCTCAGACATTTACGACACCCGGGGCTCTCAGTGCCGAGCTCACACCGGGGCCATGTCACGCACACTGTGAGGGAGCTGGCCTGTGCGCTGGGGGTGTTCAGGAGGACTGCCCCCCACTGGAAGCCAGGGGCAGAGACTGGCCTTCCTCTCCACGTCCCGCACAGCCCAACCACTCACGCAGTGCCCGCAGCGCATCCCGCCACTCAGTGCCAATATTTTCTGCTTTTTAAAAATAAGGCAATGGTCACTCCCAATGAGCCCTGGACCTGAGGGGACAGGCGGGGGGGGGGGGCGCAGCAGCACTGCCAGACCACGCCGTGGCCGGGTGCACAAGCAGCCTGGCAGCGGGAGTCTGTCCCGGGGCACACAGAGGACACGGAGGGAGGCCTCCACCACCAGCGTGTCCACTGCTCTGGAGGAGGAGTCTGAGGTCTGTGGCATTAGCAAAGGGAACAGTTAAGTCTGACGGCACTCGCCTGGTGCAGGAGTCCTGGACAAGGCGTCACAGCCAGCCGGGCCAGCGCCGGCTCAGCACGTGGCCTCTGGGACGAGGGCCGGCCCCACCAGCCCGCGGACAGAGAAGCACTTCTGCGCGTGAACGCCAGGACCGCCTGGAAGCCCACAGCCCCTGCGGAGAGCGTGGGCCCTGGAGGGAGGCCTCAGCTGCGCCCACTCCACCCTGCCCACCCGCAGCCCTGCGGGTGCTGCCAGCCACATCGCTCCTGCTCCTATTTATTTATTTACTTATTTATTTTTAAAGATTCATTTATGCATACAAGATCCCGGGTACAGACCAAAGCTGTGGGGGGTGAGAGGACTCACCAGAGACAGAGCGGGGAGCAGAACAGGCAGACGGAACAAAGACACTGCTGAAGGGAGCAGCGGATGAGTCAGGAGAGGTCTGCTGCTTCATGTGGGTTGCTCCCCGGCCGGCTGGGGATCGAACCCGTGCTGCAGAGGCTGTGGACAGCCTGATAGGTTGTGCCCTAACCCCTTGCACCACCAGGGAGGCCCCTCCTGCTCCTATTTAATCTCTAAATTTTCTCAAACATGCATTACTCATCCAGTTTCAAAGGAAGACAACATTATTTTATAATAAAAATCAAAGGCACACGGACCAAGAGGACACACACCTACGATGCAAGCGTGACGTCAGCCTTGGGGCGCAGACAGCACGTCGCAGCCCAAACCCCGCGTCCGCGCCATAAGGAAAGACACCGGCATTCACCGCACTGCCTTCAGGTCGGTGGAATCAGAGGTGACTGTTTCTCCTTTTCAGTTTTGGCACTTTCTTAATTTTCTACAGTAACGACAAAGAGGATGGCGACACTCCGTAGCCACAGCCTCTCACGCTGCAGCCCTCGGCCCACAGCCCCGCACAGCGCAGGCCAGCAAGGCGCGTCTCCCAGACAGCCACACGGGCCCCCGCCGCCCTCTGAGGTGCCAGCTCCGGCCCTGCAGCACTGCAGGGCTCACATCTGGGGAGGAGTGCGGCGGGGCCTCTGTGGGCCGTGTGGGGCATGGATGTATTCACCCCTTCGGAGCATCCACATGGGTGTTCTGACGTGGCCAGAAAAATAAAATGTTTTCTCAGTGGACCGGAGATCAGCCAAGGCAACGCTAATGATAACTAACGGATACAAAAGGTTTCTTAAGCTAGTTTATATGTCAAGTCCTCCCAAGGATCCGATGCATCAGAAAAATCAGTTCACAAAGCACAGGCCAGGACAGTTACCTCTTCCTTCTCATGCAGCATAACATGCGCCTTGAGACTGGCCGCTCTGGAGAACTTCTTGTGACACACGGGGCAGGTGGGGTCTTCCCCATTGTGGGTGCACTTATGAAGGGTCAGGTTGAATTCAACATTAAATGTTTGGGGGCACTGGTCACATCGATGTGGCTATTTGGAGAGAAAAACCAAGAAGCCACTGAAATGCAATCTCTCTGCAGTCAGCGTCGCGCACATGTTAACAAGCACCGTCATCTACAACCTCCCCGGGGAGCTCCTGAGCGCCTGGACCCTAGACAGGCGGCCTGGGTGGACACAGCGGGCTCCCCACTGAAGGTCTCCCAGGAAGGAGGCACCATCAGTGTGGAGTGTTTCTGAAGAACAGAAATGCGCGCATAAACGCAGCAGGAGGTGGTCTCCCTTCCCTCTTCTTCTCTAAACAAAAGCATTTCAAGTAAACAAGTAAACATACATTTTTTTTTTACTGGATTTTTAAGAGAACTGCTGGTCTCAGTCTAAAATTTTCCCCAAATGGAAAATATTCTGCCACTTACTTAAAGAGACGTGAAGGGATCCCTGGTGTTTCCCTCTGACCTCTGGGGGCCCCCTGGAGCCCTTCTCTCTAGTCCCTGGCTCGGCCCGGCGGCAGCAGCCTGTTGTCCAGGCCCCGCGTGATCACGCGCGCTGGAGGCAGAGCCAGCCTGGGCTATCTCTGTCTGCTGCTCAGGAGGCCCCTGGCATTCCCTGCTCTCAGCAGGCTCACCGTCTGACATTCCCCTACGGAGAGAGCGTCAGCAATAGCCTTTTAGAACTGCAGCTGTCCCTGCGCTTTCCTTCCAGCCGGCTGGCCCGAGCAGGCCATGGGCACTGCAGAAGGGGCTCAGGTCTGCACTTAAGACGGTGCTGCTCCGGCCGGGGAGGACCTAAGATACCAGGACGCCAAGTCAAAAGCAAGGCCACTTAGGGTAACACTCCCTGCTGGAGAAAACACATCAAGATATGCCAGTTTTGTGTCCCGCCATGCTGGAGGTTGAAGCTACAAGCTATTCCCTGGTCTACTCATCTATGATGTCAACACACACATTCACCGCTAACACCCTCTCTTAACCAGCACCGGCAAGAACACCCCACACTAAACGCCTAGTTATTATATGACTGTGAACGCCCCACAATCCCCACCATCCAGGGGTCTGAAGTGTGAGAAAACATCTGGCTCCATGGCCAACTGGCAGCCCCCAGGCTCCATGCCCGCCCGGCGGCGGCAGGTACGTACCTTGTCATTTCGTTCGTGCTCCCTCATGTGGCGCTGAAGCTGGGCCTCTTTTGGAAAGGACAGCAGGCAGAGCTCACATTTATGGAAGTTTGGAACTTGACAGGCATAATTAGCGTTCTCCGCATTCAGTGTTAAAGCTCCATCTACAAAATCGCATAAGTATAGACAATAAATACCAGTTGTTATTCTCATGACATACATCAAACTAGATTATTTGGTTATTGTGTAGAAACCAATATCGTCAAGGATTTTTGAGTTTAGATGAAATAAATGGCATAGATTTTTCTAAATGGGGGCGTTTTCGTAGTTAGAAATGAGAACATGGAGTGACTGAGACATGAGACAGCGGAACCTTACACACTCGCTAGGAGGCGTTTCAGAGACCCGACACGGCGCCCTGAAGCCTCGACAACCCGCACACCCAACTCACAAAGGCCACGCGTCCTAGACTCTGCCCGCCGGTCTCTGTAGGTCACACTGCCCCCCAAGTCACTCTGAAGCTCAGTGAGCTGCACGGCATTTTAAATCACTCAGCAAACGATCTCTAGGAAAATATAAAAGCTAATTCGCTGATTCAACCTAATGCTGGAAAATGCAGCAAAGCAAAATTAAGTCAAAAAGGAAAACCTTCTGTTCTCTCCTGTGGCTCCGGCCTCAGGGATCAAGGACCCTGACGCCGGGCCGTGGTGGCCTTGAGGGTCTTCCTATGAGTTCATTCAGTTAAATGACCCTAAACCTAGAAAGTATTTCCAAATAAGAACCTGTAACCATCATAAAAATGAATCCAGAATGTCATTAAAAAAAAAAGGAAAATCTAGGGCCTCCCCTGGTGGCGCAGCGGTTGAGCGCTGGGCTGCGAGGCTGCCCGCAGCCTCTGCAGCGCCAGTTCATTCCCGGGCCACCGGCGAGGGTTCCACAAAAAAAAAAAAAAAAAATCTAAATCCCTACAATTCTCTTAAATAGGCAAAAAGAGCCCACGTCTGATGATTCGAGCATTTCGGCCACAAATACGTAGCACGTGCCAACTATACAAAGACTAAAAATACGTCCCAAGAGTCTTTGCATTAAATAATATGACCCCAAAATGTTCGAAGCTGGAACCCGGACAGCAGGGCACTGGTCAAGGAGAAGACCCAACCAGGGCCTCCTCAGTGGCACAGCGTTGAGCGCTGGGTTGTGAAGCTGCCCGCAGCCTCCGCGGCGCCAGTTCAATCCCCGGCTGCTCCCCGGCCACCGGAGGAGGGTCCCACATGGCGCGCAGACCTCTCCTGCCGCCCGCTGCTCCCCTCAGCAGTGTATTTCGTCAGTCTGCCTGCTCTGCTCCCCGCTCTGGCTCTGGTGAATTCTCTCACCCTCCCGCGCTTCTGACTGTACCCAGTGCTTGTATAAATAAATAAATAAATAAATAAATAAATAAATCATGCCTCTTTAAAAAAAAAAAAAAATTGCTTTAAAAAAAAAAAAGACCCAACCAGCAAGCTCAGGGGTCCACGCAGTCAAGACAGGGGCCCAGATTTCCTCTCAAGACTGGTCAGTCCCTCTTTCGAGGAAGCAGCCTGCAGTTGCCCAGGCTCCCAGGGCCGCGGCCGCGGGTCTGGCGGGCTGGACAAGCAGCACGGGGGGCGCGGGGGCCAGGACAGAGCTGGGCGGATCCTTGCGGAAAGCAGATTCCAGTTATGAAAAACACAACGCAATTCCAGACAGGCTCCTGTCGCGGGCACAGCAATCCAGCGAGAAGAGACGCTGTATTCTCTCTCCGCGGAAGCCACCTTCTATTCAAAAACTGCATTTTAAAAATCTCTGTGCTAAAGACAGAATGAAATGTCACGAGTCCCCACTTTCAAACAAAACGACTGCTGGAACCACGTTAACGTACACATTCTCATTCCCTTTGGAAAGGCTTATACAACGGGAACAGAGAAGTGCAGAGGCCAGGGGAAGAAAAGCAAGCTATCTGGTGGACAGCGTTTCCAGAAGGCAGCGGCAGCGGCCAGCCTACAGGCTGGCTCCATGGCCAGGGGCGCGCCGCAGCGTCTGAAGTGCAAGTCACAGGCTATTTCAGGAAGCAGAGGGAAACCAGCTTCACAGACTGTGTGTTCAAACTACTTAATTAGCTACCCCAAAACAAGAAGGGATTTCATTAACTGCAAAGCCAAAACCCGAAAAGACAAGAGATCATACATTCAGAACTGAAAAATGACGTCGTTTTGCCGATGAATTAAGTTTTCCTGAAAAGGGCTTTTTATCGTAAGTGACGAGACTTCCTCCTTAACAAAACCCAAAACACAATAAAACTTTCTTAGTAAGTCCCTTCCCCAGTGAAAAAATACTACTAATTTGGCTCCACAACCCCCAGCCACCCCCACCGCAGCCCCTGGGGCGCCCATCACCCTGAGCTCGGGGCACCACAGAGGGGGAGGGGGCTTAGCCTCACTATTCACAACTCTCGATCAGAGGGCACTATCGAGGAAGGGCAGGACGAGGATAAAATATTTACTGATCATCTGACACAGGGCAGGGATCCAGGATATACCGAGAATTCTGAGGATTCAAAAAAAATTTAAACGATGAGCAAAGGATTTGAACAGACACCTCTCCTCTCTGCCGACAAGTGCCTGAGAACAATGGTCAGGGGAACGCAGCGCCGTGAGACTCGTCACACCCAGAAGACTGACCAGAATCTTAAAAATAACAGCCACAGACCATAACAAGTGCCAGCGAGGATGCCGGAACCGGGGCGTCCATGGCAGGCGGGCGGGCAAGCGGAGCAGCCCTAGTGCGCTGATTTTGCTACCCGACCCAGCGGTGCCACGCGAGGTAGCGCCCAAAGGAACAAAAACAGGCATCCGAACAGAGAACAGGCATCTCAAGCATCTCGCAGCATGCCCCAGAACAGCCGTGCTGGGCGCGGAGGCCCCGGCACGCACGGACCGACGGACCCGCGCCAGGGCCGACAGACAGCGCCCGAGGCTGGGGAGTGCGGGCTCTGCGGCTGCAGGGTTTCATCTGCAGCTATGAAAAAGTTCTAGAACCGAATCATGGTGACGGCCCCACAACAACAAGCTTCAGTGCGATGAGTGGTGGACTTTACACCGTCTCTAAGGACAACTGTGATACTGTATGCATTTTACCACATAATTTAAAAAAATGTCTTCTGAGGGCTCAGATCTGTATGTAATGGAGACACACGCGAACAGCACATCAAGAGACAGAAAGGGCACAGTGAATAGAACTGAAGTGATCAAACAGCTCAGAATTTTCTGGGAAGTGGTAAAAGCATTAACTTAGACTGTAAAGGTCAAGGATCACATTATATTCTCAACAGCAAATGCTAGAAAACCAGTCAAAGAACACACAGCAGGTTAACAGAAAAGCAGAAATGACGTTTTAAAAATACTTCATTAAGTAAATAAGGCCAGAAAGAAGGTGGACCATAAAGGAGTGAATCCAGCAAAAAATTAATGGTGATATTAAGTTCAAACCCCAAATAGCAAATAACTGCCTTCAATATAATGAGACTAAACCTCTCAATTAAAAAACAAGGCCACCAGACAGCACTAAGGAAAGCTCCAGCCAGTTCCACACACACCAGAGAAAGCAGCAGCGTGATAAAGACTGAGAAATAAGAGAGAAACCTGTTAATGTCAGCAAACGTGATCAAACAGAAAATCTAAAATAAGCTATAGGGAACTATTGGAAATAATAAATGGTGAGGGGGAAGACTGGCCACCAGATCAAATTTAAAAAACTAATAAATTAGCAACACAGAAATTGAAAGAAGAACCCGCCACGTTTCATGAACACCGACACGCTGGCTGTGGAATCTATGGGAAACCAAAAAGTACCAAAAATTATCAAGATAAGCACAAAAAAGAAGCCAAAGTTGAGGGTTCCACTTAACCCATCAGGCACCAAAACTCGGGTTAAAGGCGACGCCATGAAGACGGGACGACGCTGAGACCAGGGCAGGCCCACGAGATGCCACCCGCCCGCAGGGCCCCGCCCGCCCGGTGGCTCTCCGCAGTGAACACAAGTTCCCATCGTGAAGGAAAGGCAGCAGATGCTGTGTGACCCTCAGCGGGACGAGGAACAACGCCTCCAGGTGGAAACGCAGGCGGATGTCTGCCGGCAGCTGCCGAAGACCCCAAGCAGGTCCCAGAGCAAAGGACTGCCGACCGGGACGCTGAGCTGGGAACCTTTTCATCCCAGCTGCCCCTGCAAGAGTGGCTAGAACGCACCAGCACAAACACAGCATGTGCGAGACAGACAGACAGAGACAGGACTCCTGCAGCCACGACGGAGACACGCCGCCTGCACGCGGCCAAGCAGCAGAGGCGCAGGCGCTCGCCCGGCCTCCCGAGGAAACTGCAAAATGAGACATGAGCTTCCCCTGGCAGGCGCGGAGCGGCTGGGGGAGAAAAGGAGACGCCAGCACACCAGGGGCTGACGGCGGCGAGGCTGTCCACTCAGGAGCGCAGGGACGGCGTCGCCCCTGGGAGGAGTCGCCACAGGAGCCAGCGACGTGTCCCGGCACTTACCTGACAAACGGCGGGCGGCCAGTCGGACAGACGCCCACACAACAGCCCGCGCGTGCACAGCCACCTCGCCCATGACGCCCTTCGCACCGTGGACGGACAGGCCACCCGGCCCTGCGGACACCGCACTCGCGGGGCCCAGCCCTGCGCCGAGGCTGCGGTGAGGACGGGGCAACAGGGGCCTCCAGTCTTGCCGTTCCTCAGCAACAGCACTTTTTGGGGAACCTGTGAGATGACGGGTACTAACCAGACTTGCTCCATCATCTCACACGCCCGGAGTCAGACCCGCGAAGGCGCACCGGGCCTACGTGTGGCATCAACTGAATCTCAATAAAGCAGAGGGGGAAGCGAGGGCCGCCGAGGGCCGCGGAGGGCTGTGCGTGCCGAGGCGGAGGCTCCATGCAGCCAAGCAACGACTCCGGCCAGCGGCTCTGTCACGCACTCGCGCTTCTCCTGGAGAGTCCCGAGCCCTGGCGGTCATTAAATGGAGCAAGAGTGGGGGCTAAACTGCGGACAAGGCGAGAACCTGGCCAGTCTCTGAGTTCCCGGGCGGCCCCTGGGCCCCCGGCACTGCAGCTCGGCGCTCGGGAAACCAAGCACCACCAACAACCCCCAGCAGTAAACAGGGGCCCGGCGGGGCCGGCTGACGCCACGCTGTGGAGACGGGCGCAGGGCAGCGGGGCAGGCGGAGGCAGACAAGACCCGGCCAGAGCCTCCAGGCCCACCCCAGCTGCTCAGTGTTTCTGGCAAGTGGGCCCCGCAGCTCCTCCGGGAGCCGGTCCTCTGGGCAGCCCGCTGCGCGGGGTGAGGAAGGGGCCTCAGAAGCTGGAGCACCCAGACCTGCAGGGTGAGCAAGAGCAGAGTCCCCAGACAGGACCGGGCGGCCGGG